GACTGCTGTGGTAGAGGCTACCGCTGGCTGGCTGGCTCTGCTTGGTCCCCTAGGACACTGGTTCTCATCCTACAAGGAACCAGGGCGTGGAAAATTCTTCCAAAATCTTCCATTACCCAACAGTAAAAATAAGCGTTACTCTATATTCATGCAACTACGATTATATCAGCCAGTAGAAGCTTAAAGCAGTATTAAGCCCAAAAGAAAACAGTATACTGCAGCTTACCGAATCTTAGATGTGATGGCTGTATTAGTTTTCTTTTTGAAACTTTCTTTCTTTTATTTTCATTCAGCCAGCATGTGTGCTGTTTTTCAGAAGCTCAAGCTCTCCAGCAGAATGTATCAGATTATGTGGATGAGACAATCCATTTACCACTGAGGGGTGATTAAAATAATCAGTTTTTATTAAATCATGTAAAACCTTTATCCCAAAAGGAAAAAACTGTTGCTGTAACTGATTATAAAGAGTGAGCTGGAGTTTGGCTTCAATTTGTTATTGTATTCAAATCTTAGATTGTAAGCTCTAACGAGCAGGGCCCTCTGTTTCCTCTTGTACCAAATTGTATTGTAACTGTAATGTCTACCTTCATTTTGTAAAGCACTGAGCAAACTGTTGGCGCTATATAAATCCTGTATAATAATAATAAATCTGCTAATACCTTTAATACCCCCCCCTCCTCCCCAAGACTGACAATGCTGCTGTGCCCTGTGCTCCTGCTTCCAGAGTTGTGTCTCACTAATACTGGAGGTATGTTACTGGCAGTAACAGCACAAGTCCATCCAGCGCCCAGGGCAAGGATGCAGAACTGCGCGCCCTCCCCCCACTACTAATGCATGTTGTAGAATGGGTGTACTCCCCTACGTACAATCTAAGCCCCCCTTGCTCTGCTGCTCTCAGTGCAAGGATGCAGAACTGCGCCCTCCCCCCACCACTAATAAATGTTGTAGAATGGGTGTACTCCCCTACGTACAATCTAAGCCCCCCTTGCTCTGCTGCTCCAAATGCAAGGATGCAGAACCGCGCCCTCCCCCACTACTAATACATGTTGTAGAATGGGTGTACTCCCCTACGTTCACTCTCTGCCCCCCTTGCTCTGCTGCTCCCAATGCAAGGATGCAGAACTGCGCACACTCCCCCCACTACTAATACATGTTGTAGAATGGGTGTACTCCCCTACGTACACTCTAAGCCCCCATTGCTCTGCTGCTCCCAGGGCAAGGATGCAGAACCGCGCCCTCCCCCCACTACTAATACATGTTGTAGAATGGGTGTACTCCCCTAGGTACACTCTATGCCCCCCTTGCTCTGCTGCTCCCAGGGCAAGGATGCAGAACTGCACCCTCCCCCGACTACTAATACATGTTATAGAATGGGTGTACTCCCTTACGTTTACTCTCTGCCCCCCTTGCTCTGCTGCTCCCAGGGTAGCTTCCCCTCTTGTCCTGGCCCTGGTCACTGGCTAGATCACCAGGTGAAAACAGAGGTAAAAAACAAACAATCTGATGCAGCCAACACATCTAATGATTGGCAGCACAGTGGCTAAATGGTTAGCACTTCTTCCTGGCAGTACTAGGGTCGCTGGTTCGAGTCCCAACCACGGCACCACCTACCTGGAGTTTGCATGTTCTCCCTGTGCCTGCGTGGGTTTCCTTCAGGTACTCCGGTTTCCTCCCACACTCCAAAGACATGCTGGCAGGTTAATTGGATCCTGTTGAAATTGGCCCATGTATGTATGGATGTAAGTTAGGGACCTTAGATTGTACACCCCTTGAGTGTTAACGACACTGGCTGGGAAGGGGTTAACTTTTAGGGGCAATCAAAGGGTTAACTGTGCACCTACCAATGTTTACTGTGTGTATTCTGTGCTGTTTTACTAAGCAAAGTGCCGGCACATCTCTCCTATCTTTAGAGAGCCCTGTGTTGTTTACAAACACAGGGCTCTCTTCTGTCATTCGCTGAGCCAATCCTGTGGAGACTAAGATTGAGCTCTGCAGTCACTTTTGAAGCATTTGTTTTCTTATTCCAGGTCGCAATCCTGTACAGTGTCCTTTTGTCTCTTTCGGTCAGTTGACCACACTTATGCTTATCAGACAACATTTTCCCAGAAATTGTATATGCCCGTCATAACTTCTGATACTGTACCTCGCGACACACCAAAAGATTGGCAACTTCAGTCACAGAGGAGCCAGCTAAGCGGGCACCAGCAATCTGCCCTTCTTGAACCTCAGTAAGCTCTGACACAACTCTGTATTACTAATAGCACATGAATGAATGACAAAAGTGAGACTGCCCACCTGTTAGCTAGGTGTCTCATCACACAGCAGAAGCAAAAGTATGTTACATCACTTTCAATGCGAAACATGTCGTCACTTTCACACCTCCAAATCATTTAGTGTTTTAATTTTTTTGTCTAACCTCTGTATATATACAGGGCATTTTTTTCAGCTAGAACTTGGTGGAACTCAGTTCCACCACCTCTGGATCAGGCCATCTGCTCCCTGCTGACCACTATCACTTGTAAATACAGAAATCCGACTTCAGTGTTTTCCCAATGGCTCCCACTGAGTGCAGAATGGGGACCAGGGAGATGCAGGTGCTTGGGGTGCAGTGCAGATGCCGAAATCCCCACTAGATGATCTCCCTGCAAGTGAGTGAAGTGGAGCCTCCTACAGTGTACGGGGAGGTACTAAAGCCAGCTGGGGGCTTCAGCATAAATACAGCAACAAAAGTAATACATGTGGAAGATGGCGGAGCTTTTAAGGAGGGGGAAGAAGATGGGTGCAGTGGAAGGGACGGTTGCATGCAGAGGTCAGAGCCGAAGAGGAGTAAAAATGAGATATGGATGGGGGATGCAGAGGTAAGCAGCTGTGCAAAAAGGCTGAACTCTGCACTCTGTAGTGCACCCCTGAACTCTGCAGTATGTATGTAGCACACCCCCAAACTCTGCATGTAGTGCACCCCTGAACTCTGCACTCTGTGTGTAGCTTACCCCTGAACTCTCTACTATGTACTTAGCACACTCCCGACCTCTCGTAGTGCACCCCTGAACACTGTACTCTGTGTGTAGCTTACCCCTGAACTCTCTACTGCCCCTGAACTCTGCAGTATGTACTTAGCACCCCCCCCTCCCAATCTCTGCATGTAGTGCACCCCTGAACTCTGCACTCTGTCTGTATCTTACCCCTGAACTCTCTACTATGTACTTAGCACACTCCTGAACTCTGGATGTAGTGCACCCCTGAACACTGTACTCTGTGTGTAGCATACCCCTGACCTCTCTACTGCCCCTGAACTCTGCAATATGTACTTAGCACCCCCCAATCTCTGCATGTAGCTTACCCCTGAACTCTGCACTCTGTGTGTAGCTTACCCCTGAACTCTCTACTATGTACTTAGCACACCCACAAACTCTGGATGTAGTGCACCCCTGAACTCTGCACTTTGTGTTTAGCGTACCCCTGAACTCTGCACCCTATGCAGCACGTCCCTGAACTCTCTACTATGCACTTAGCACACCCCCAAACTCTGTATGTAGTGCACCTCTGAACTCTGCTTGTAACACCCCCCCCCCAAACTGTGCACTCTGTAGGTAATGCACCCTTAGTATTTAATGCCCCTTTAAGACCCTCTCTCTGCTAGTGAAATTTGACCACACTCACTATTTGATGAGGTTTGGAGGGAGTGTGTGGGGAGGGGGGTTTTGGGGAGTCGTGGTTGAGTTCCTGCACCTATATAAAGCCATATATATATATATATATATATATATATATATACACTAATTATTCAATCCCCCGCCCCATGTAAAACCTTCATTACAAAGAAACTTTAAAAAAATTAGAAGAGAATGTTAAAAACCAAATTTAATTTATAATCTGACATCTGTTTGTTGATGCCTCATATGATTTCCTGGGACCTCACCAGGAGGATTAGATGTGACCCTTGCCTGGGTTCCATGGGGGAATGTAAGGTGGTAAGTATATATTTTACTGTGGGCTTTTGACTTTGAAGCAAGCTCTGACCTCCACTTTAAGGGGAGTGTGGCTTGTTATGTTAAATACGAAGCCTGATTTTACTGAAAAAATAATTGAGATATGTTACCCAAAGTCTGGCAGTCTATGCCAACATCACTGTCTATCCATCAGCGTTTGCCATCCATTGCTCATCACTCTGCATAAGGAATTAAGTACCAATTGCAATTAGGATTTAGCGCATTGTTTTTTGACCTTTACAAATGCACTTGGTATGTAGCTTTGTGCATTCATACAGAACTCCTCCATACAAGCTCATATCCATATTTTTTCACCTATTTCTGTATAGGATAAGAAATCCATTGCTGTAAATTGTATGTTGAGATCCACCTTGTGTTTGTTCCTCTATTACATTTTAATAAAGGCAGAGCAGACACACCCCCCGCCTTCTCGGAATGCTGCCTTCCCTCTCCCTGTGCTACACACACATACAATAGGGAGAGCGCAAGCGCACAAGCACCCTGCAGATTGCGGCTAGAATAGCACTGCTGTCACGTTAGGTAAGATTCTCTGGTGTTTAACCTCTTCATTGCCATGTGGGGCTCCATCACCCTCAGGAAGACCGTTATCTGTTCCTCCATCGCTTCTTCTTCTCTTCAGCTGTTTCTAAAAACGGACCAACATCACGGTGATGGAAGGGATCTCCTCAGCAGCCTTGTAAAATATTATTCCATTTGCTATTAAGCTGGCAGAAAAGGCAATATGGGTGAAATTGAAGAATCCATTTAAAGCTACAAGGAGGTTTTCGAAAACACTCAACCATTAACATTGTATGTGTAGCCCATCTTGTGTTTTTTCATATCACTGCTTTGAAAAATATATTCCTTGTGTACATCTGACACTCACCCCATACCTTACCTAACCTTTACATGACTGTCATAGTCTGTACTGTACATTTATGTTATGTTTGTTATCACATATTTCAGTATTTAACCTTTCTTTTTCTTGTGCTCTTTATGGTTTCTAGTCTTTTTTACAAGGTCTGCTGTGATGCTATGGATCCCTTGGTAGAAAATATAAAATGTGAAGAGGGTGGTGGTGTACATTTGGTGACCCGCGAAAGCAGTGTGCTTCTACCTTCTCCAGCTGTCTCAGGTAACAAACCAAGCACAACACCCACAACTCATATCAAGCTAGCAAAAAGGACCTCCTGTAAATGGAACCATTAATTTGTAGACATTTATAATGCTCTGAATAAATCCTGGCGTTGGCTTAATGGTTCAGCATCACCTCTCAGAGAGAGCTCAGTTTTTCAGTTTTTACTTGTATTTTCTTCCAGCAGAAGTGTTAGGCTGAATGGTGATCTCGCTGAGCTCAGTCTTGATAACAGGCACTCACAAAACTGATATGTATTTAAGGTGCACTCAGATTTGGTATTTGAAAGTTTTACGCTCCTCCAAAGGCCCAAACAGATGGTCAGCCCTGAGCTCAGGTTAAAGACAGGTCATCTTCCATGGGGGTACTTAATCCATCTCAATTCTGGCCTGACAGAGAGAATACAAAGGAACACCAACAAATACATCTATCCCTGAGTAATAATGCTGCACTATTATACCAACATATGAATGGAGATTTAAAACAGGGGTCCTGGTTCCATACATTTAAATATAAGTGTGAAAACCACATACCATAGTTGAGGTGTCCCATGTAGGTGTTCTTCTCCATCACCAAAGACATGCTGGTAGGTTAATTGGATCCTGTCTAAATTGTCCCTAGTATGTGTATGTATGAATGTGAGTTAGGGACATTAGATTGTACGCCCCTTGAGGGTTAGGGACTGATGAGAATGTACAATATATATATGTAAAGCACTGCGTAAATTGACAGTGCTATATAAGTACCTAAAATAAATAAATAATAAATGAGAGTATCAACCCTTAGACACTGATATAGAAATGCCCAGTGGAGCTTACTAGAGGTTTCCCCAGTCTCCATGATGGTAGTGTAACCCTCTAGAATACCAGACTCATTTAGGAATAGTTATAGAACCCTCATGGATGTGCACCATACAATGCACAATTCCCATTACTTATTTTTGCCAGTTAACCACTTGCCGACTGCACTATAGCCAAAAGATGGCTACAGCACGGTTGGCTAGTTCTGGGAGGGCTTCTAGTGATATCCTTCCAGAAACCGCGCCCCTCTGCACGGCCCCAGGGCACGCATTGTATCCTTCAGACCAGGGGCGGACTGACCATTTGGAAACTGGGGCACTGCCCGAGGGCCCGGGGTCAGTAGGGGGCCCCATGAGATGCCCCTGGTACCTTTTTGATAGGCTTTTTTGAGTTTGGGCAAGGACACAGGGGCCCCATGATCCCCTATTGCCCGGGGACCCCATGAGTTGTCAGTCTGCCCCTGCTTCAGACACAGCTGATCACAGATCTCAGTAAAGGGCCAATCGCAGTGGCCTTTTACCATGTGATCAGCTGTGTCCAATCACAGCTGATCACATTGCAAACAGACTTGCTGGGTATCGGCAGTTCTTTCCTCACATGCTGTCACAGTTCTCAAGCAATTTACATAGGGGGCATTTGCACTGATCACAAGTGCAGCCCCATCAGTGAAGGAGAAAATTAAAAAAATAAAACAGAAACTAAGAATAATTTTTTTTTCAAGATTTATGGTCTTTTTTCATTTATTTTGCAAATAATAAAAACCCAGTGGTGAATAAATACCACCAAAAGAAAAGATAAAAATTTAATTTAGGTACAGTGTTGCATGACGGCGCAGTTGTCATTCAAAGTGCGTCAGCACTGAAAGCTGAATCTTGGCCTGGGTCCGGTAGGCAAGTGATTAACAAAAAGGATCTCATTTGAAACCTTAACACATTAATAAGTTGAACAATGGTACTACAAACTTGGGACTCTCTTAATATTTTTTCAGATTCACAGCCTCCATTGTCATTGCCTGCTCCATGGCAAATTCTTTGGTCAGTAAAACAGTCCATATTTACCACTGTGTACTGATCTGTACTGTAACCTTAACCCTACGTTTGCCTGAAGATACACTTTAAATTTGGAACCTGGTGATAAATGTAGTAGGCTTGATTTAACAGTTTCTGTCTGGGTGTCTTCTATTCTAAAATCTGATTCCAACTGTACAATAAAATACATGTTGTAGAATGAAAATAAAGAAACTGGTTGATACAAGACAATACAAACAATTCGTTTTTGATACTTTGATGAACAGGACCTACAGGGAATCATGCATTTCTGTTTTCCCATAGCTTCTTAGATGCTCTCTTTCACATATCACTAGAAAAATGAATGGGAGAATTTTGGTTGATTGATTGAAGCAGTATATATGGCTTGGCTTTTAGGATGTGAATTAAGGACAGATTATGGCACAGATATACCAGAAAATTAAAAAAAAAAGACAAACGAATCCTTATGTCTCATAAAATATTGCCTTTTTGCCAACAGTTGTTAGGTTGCACCTATCCACCTGCTCAGATACTCAGCGCCCCATTCTGCAGGAGCAGCGAGAGAGGAGAGGATTGGAGCCAGTCACCGCCACTGTGAATCCACAGGTTAGATGACAGTGAAATTTAGGAACATGACATAAGGCTTTTCAGTTCAAAAAAATTACAGTATTTCTGTTAAAGTTAATTATATGTCCATCTGTCCTTTTTATTTTCTCCTGGTCCCCTGGCAAAAGTGTAATAAATGCCTGTTGACCCAGTTACCAATTAAAGAAGAATTCCAGGCATGGTATTTTTTTACATAGTTAAATCCAGCATGGACCAATGTAACTATGTATCTTCCATACCTGGCCTATGCCCTTGGAAACTGGAAATCATTGAAGAACACACCGCTACTCCAGTGATCTCCACTTGGTTCCAGGTCCCATGTTGAGCGGCCGGCCTGATGCATTGTGAATACAGGAAGTCGGCTGCTCAGCAATGGCAACATTCAAAGAATGCTTTGCATTTTATTAATGAATGTAAATCATTCTCTTATTGGATGAGGTGGAGAGGTGGGATGGTGATATCACAATTTCCACCCTGTCCAGTCAGAGAACATTCTCTCAATGGTGGCTATCCCAAGCATCTGACCTCCTGTATTATCAGTGCATCAGTCCAGCCACTCAGCACAGGACCTGGAAGAAAGTCGAGATCCCTGAAGTAGCAGACTTCCAAGGGCATCAGCCAGGTATGGTATTTACAGTTACATAGATCCAAACTGGATCAATGTAACTATTTAATAATATACCATGCCTGGAATTCGTCTTTAAGTCCACCTAATGAAGCTTCCTGTGATAGTGTGGCAACAATTCTGCACTGCTTTTGAAGTCAGAGCAGAGTTGACACTCCCCTACAGACTGTGCCTGCTTGCTACAGTGGGATGAGAAAATGTTGCATGGAGAATGGCTATTAGCATTGATACTACTGCTTCATATGCATGTAGCCTGTCAGCAGCCCCTGGCCACACCTAGTTCTGCCCACTACTTTCTGCATTGACACCACTGCCTCTGTAGCTGAACCCCTCCTACTATGAGTAGGGATGAGCAAACCATTTTTTGCAGGAGGGTCGAAGAACTCAGCAAAAAATTTGCTAAACCCAAACTCAATCCCAAACCATACTGAAGTCTAAGAAAGCCAAAACTGTTTATTTTACAAGACCTAGTTGCAAACTTTTGTTTAAAATTGGGCATGGGTAGCTGGGCACTGCCATTGGGGGCATATACCAACACACAAAAAAACAGCCCCAGTGTCCCTGATTACTGCCACACCAGTCCGAGTGTCTCTGATCTAACTGCCACACCAGTCCCAGTGTCTGTGATCACCCCTTGGACCCTTCATGAGCACCACCATTCACGTTCATGGGTCACTACTGGCAGATGTACAGGGGGTATAATTCCTGCCACAGCTGTGAAGCAAAGTGAGAAGCATTTGTACACCCCCTGCCACTGCCTCTGCAGCTAAAGAGGGGTAGTGGTTGAGGGGTGGTAAAACCATGGCTCAGCCTAAGGTTTTACCATACCCAAGGGCGGACTGACAACTCATGGGGCCCCTGGGCAATAGGGGATCATGGAGCCCCTGTGTCCTTGCCCACATTAAAAAAAGCCTATAAAAAAGGTACCAAGGGCATTTCATGGGGCCCCCTACTGACCCCGGGCCCTCGTGCAGTGCCCGAGTGCTCGAATGGTCAGTCCGCCCCTGACCATACCCCAACCTCATGTGTGAATGAGCTCTAATAGTGCAAGTAGCCAGTGTCTCCAATCACAACCACACCAGTCACAGTGTCACCAGACCTGTGTATCTAGAATCAGTGTTCCTGATTGCCACCATACTAGATCAGTGCAGCCAGGAAGTTTTCCTGATCACTACCACATCAGTTGCAGTGTCACCACACTGGTGTAAGCCAGCAATGGTGTCCCTGATTGTTGCCACACCAGTCATAGTGTCACCAGACCATGGTAAGTCAGCAACAGTGTTCCTGATTGCAGCTACAAAAGTCCCACTGTCACCAGACCAGTGCAGCCAGCAACAGTGTTCCTGATAACCACCACACCAGTGCAGCATTGCCTCTGCCAGGCACATGTACTGACCCTTGCCTGTTGCTGCCTGCTGTCTTGACTGATTTTTTCCCTGTTTACTGACCATGTCTCTACCTGCCGCCTGAACTGACCCATCAGTTCGTCCGACTACAGTCAAGGCCTGCTTGACTTTTAGGAATGGAGAATGCTATAGGGGATGCTACGCTAAGCTAAATTCCCTAGCTACTCATACAGAGGTGACCATTACATTTCATTGGTTTTGGCACAATTGGTTGATCTGTATGATACACAAGATACAATGTCTGGTACATAATCAATCCAAACAGTGAAAAAGTCTCACTCGTGGTATCGCCATACTTGTGAGGAGTAGTAGAATGTGTTTTTGGTTGTAATTCTAAGCATGCCCATGCTGTGTGTGAGAAATAATTTGTTAAAATGACAACTTTGCGAAAACAAAAAATGTCTTAATTTTCCAAAAAATTGTGACAAAAAAATTACAACTTCCTACTAAATACCTTCGACTATCTCATTTCCAAAACAGGGTCGTTTGGGGGTATTTGTACTTTCTCTGCAATTTAGGACATCAAAATGTTCAATTTTCAAATATAGTGTATATACCATAGTTTGTAGATTTTATAACTTTCACATATAATATGTATTGATTTTGGTTATTTTACCAAAAAATTTAGCAGAATACATTTTGGCCTAAAATTATGAAGAAAGATTATTTATTTCCAAAATTTTAGAACAAAAACTATGAAAAACTGTTTTTTTTTTTTTATTTCACTCTTTTGAGTAGTTGTCATTCAAAGTGTAACAGCACTAAAAACTGAAAAATGGCCTGGGAAGGCAGGGGGTGAAACAGTCCAGTCTTGAAATGGTTAAACAATTTGCTTGTTCTTTGACAGGTTCATTTAGGACATCTGCATTGCCAGGATGGGAACCCAAGCCAACCCAAAGAGGAAGACATTGCGATAACCACAGAAGGGAACAACAATACCATCTCTAAAGGTGGCCTCCTTTTTGAAGTTCTGAAGTGGGTTTTAGTTAACGATGTATTTGAACCATCATTATTATTATCATTACTACTATTCTACCTTTTATGATGTTCAAAACTATACAGGTAGGGTGGGTATAGTGCAACTCTTAATGTTTTCTGCACAAAGTGGAGAGAAATTACAGAGATATAGGAAACTATACTCTAAGCCAGTTTTCTCCAAACTGTGACCTGGGGGCCAGATGCGCCCCTTTGCTTGCTTTTATCCGGCCCTTTCATCCACTGATACCAACAACTGATACCAACAATGGCTCATAATTCCCCCCACTGAAACCAATTAAGGGTTAGAATTCCTCCCAATGATAGTGAACAATGAGGCCTAATTCCTCCCAATGATACAAACCATGGAGCCCAATGACACCACCGATGGGGCACACTTCCTCCCACTGACACCAAAGATGGGGCAATGTTTATTCCCACTGATGTCAAGACCTTTTCTTCTCCCAATAACCACAGGCCGCCCTCCCCTTAAGTTTGAAGGACAGTAAACTGGCCATCTGTTTAGAAAGTTTGGAGACCCTTGCTCTAAGCAGAAGTGCCAAGTTCTGGGAAGTAGGAGTCAGTATAATTCAGCACAGGAAAAGTTAGTCTTTAGTGCTGGGGAGGAGAGTGTGTAAACAAGGGTTACATTTACTTAAAATGTATATAATCTCAAAAATAGAAAAAAAAATTATAGCTACTCTTTTATCTTTAAACCCTTTGTATCTTTTCATGGAAGTTAAAGAAAAAATATTTAATCCTAGCTCTTCTATTGAGCCAGTGGCACTTGCTTTAGCAGGGTAGCAATGCTCACTGACCCGCTTAATGCAGTAGTGGTGTTGTTGCTATTGCATGAGCTCTCCAACAGCAGAATTACAGGCTCATATGGAAACCTACATTTTGTTATTTTATACTTAGCAGCATTTCATTGCCCAATGTTTTTTAGTTATATATTGTGGGTTTACATCTGCTTGAAGGAAGGGTTAGTGTTAGTGTTAGGATTGGGATACAGGAAGGGTTAAAGTTAAGGTTTGGATACAGAGGGGGATGAGGGCTGGAGTTAGAGAGGGTTGGTGTGAGGGTTGACTTACAGGGAGACGTAAGGTTAGGGTAAAGGAAGTAAAAAGGTTAGGGTAGAGCATGAGTTCTCAACCTGTGGCCCTCCAGGTGTTGTAGAACTACAAGCCTCATGAGGCATTGCAAGGCTGACAGTTACAAGCATGGCTCCCAAAGGCAGAGGCCTGATGGGACTTATAGTTCTGCAACAGCTGGAAGGCCACAGGTTGAGCACAGGTAGAGTAATACTGTCTGCTTTGGGATCTCTGCACTAATATCTGAAAGCACCAGTTTCCGTACTTTGAAAGATAATGCACTACTCTATACTAAAATGTATATGGAAATCCTCAACACCTATCCTCTAGTAGGCTTATGTAAGCACATATACACAAAAACTGGAATAAAAAATGTCTATAACAACCAATCAAATGCCTAATTTATCTGAAAGTTAAATCCTGATTGGCTGTCTTGGCTCCAGTTTTGCATGCTTTAGCTTTCTTCTCTTAGTCAATCAAATTCTCCTCAATGGTAGCAAATAAGGGTTCAGCCATAATCTTTGACTCCACTGTTGTCAATCCCTTTGCAATAGTTTTTACAATGGTTGTATTTTTCTTTCTCCACAGCATGAATGCATGTGTTTGTCTGGGGACTGTACAGTTGTGTTTATGACTCATTTGTGTCTGTGCAGTTCCTGAAGTGAAGGAGAGCCCTCATTCCGATCCTACTCTGTGTCTCTGTGATACCTGTGGCTGCCAGCATGTGGCCAGTGGAAAATGTGAGGCATGTGGTGCAATATGTCACTTCAAAGAGAGGTGAGACTGAGACCTGCTGATCACTATGATGGGGGTGAATGGGGAGCGGGTTAGTGTTACCTGGCTTCTGGGGTGTCCACAGCAGGTCCCTGGTCCTGGAGCCATCACGAGGCTTTGGGGTGGGCAGCGAGACCCCAAAACCGGTCAAGAAAAGGAGGCCAAAAGAGTATCAGAGCCCAGCTGAGTCAGAGGCCGATCTAATGGTGAGGACAGAGCCATCATTGCACTCATGTCACCTGAGTGTTGTCAGTGCTTCACTGTGTTGTGATTGGAGGAGAGTGCCGCAATACACTATAATGGAGCAGGTCTTATGCAGGGACTTATCAGTTTAACTGTTTGCATGTCGTAACTTTCGTGTGTATATTAAAGGATTATAGAATACATCAGTGGTAATTCCACTCTTAAACAATAGTGTATCTTTGAGAAATAATTTTGGAGCATGTTTTTAAAAACTACCAAAAAGTGATGTATTGTCCACAGCAACCAATCAGATTCTGAATGTCAGTGGGCCAGGGTGGGGTCTAGTAAACAGAACATATCTCTTGCTGGGTAGCTTTAGGCATCAGCCATATTTTCACTGTGTGCATTAAAGCAAACCTAAAGTAGCCTTGAAGGTAACTGAAATGCTGGGTGAGGGCACCTTTTTGTTGATACCATTGTTAGTCTTCTTCAGATCCATACTTGTGTCTCTGTGAAGCTCACGGAATCCTAAGCTAGCTAGATTTCTCTCATTCTGTCATTGATTCTTGTTCAGCCAGTGGTTCCCCTCTCCATATTAAAAAGCATAGATAGAGGAATCTCCCCTGTTGGTTATTGCATTCAAGCAGCCACTAAGGTTGTACAACCTGAGCTCTGACTACCAGATCCTGAAGATGCCTAAATGTGAACTGGAAATAGTGAGGCAAATTTTTGGTGACTATGTCATCTGTAAATGCCAACTGTGTGTTTGCTGTATCATCTTTTAACTTCAAGACAGTGGTTGTAAACCATATGACGGGTACAGGGTCCAGCAAAAGACTTTGTACTCCAAAACTTATTTTAATCATAACGATTGCTTCTATTATATTTCTATGCTTCAGTGTAAATTAAGTTAGAATGGCCTCAATTGTGAAAGTGTAGATCCAGCATCTCAAAAAATAGAAAAATGCAATTTTATTTCATCCATCACATAAAAGAGCAATCAATACTTATGACTAAGGCCTCTGTAGGAGGCTGAAACGCGGCAATGTGTACTGGTATTGATTCCTCTTTTATGTGATGGATGAAATAAAATAGCATTTTTCTATTTTTTAAGATGCTGCGGTGCCGGATCTACACTTTCATGCTGATGTTACTACGCTATAGTACTGCGGTTATCCAGGCACGTTGCGCTCTATCCCATCCTGAATGATTGCTGTGGGCTGTTGGGGTTGCAGCACTATTCCCATTTCTATTTACAATGACATCAATATCTTTAGTAAGAATTCCCTATAGCCTGAAATTGTTGAACCAGGGAGCCTATAATGATCCAAATTTGTATAGTCTGTCCCAGCCAATGCAGGAAATATGTCATCTGAAATCTGATTGGATCCTCTGGTCAACACATGTAATTTTCTTTGGCCCAGATTTTGTAAAAAAGCACAATTAAGGTGATGAGAAAAATGACAGAAGAGTGTGGGATGTATGTCTGTGTATAGTGTTATGAATGGAGTTGTCTCTATATCTGAGAGGTGTTATCATTTAGGAGAAGCAGAAAGAGCAGAAGACCTCCGAAGAAGATACAGAGGGGCCATGTGAGAGGAGCTCGGAGCAGGAAACATGGAGCCAAAAAGACACACAAAGTATGCTTTTGTTCTCTGGTCTCCCAATGCATACATGAAGTGTCCATTATTGCCCCCTCTCTATGCCAGATCCACTGTAATATCCCTCTCTGTGAACCTCAAATCATCAATACCTTCTTGAGTGTTTCTCTAATTGGAGACAAAATGGAAGTGTTGTCCATACCAATTAATCCAGTGTGTAAGCTGGAAGACCTGACCAAACATCCCATTTGAAACATTTGATTGGCAAAAACAACACCTCCATTCTTTTTTCTTCCAGTTTTTATTTCTCCTCATTATAGACTCATTTATATTGTTTTCCATGTTTTTTTATCTATAGCTTCAGGTGATGAACTGGGAGACTCTTGGTCTTGGTCTGCTTACCTGGAAGAGCAGAATTGTGACGCGGCTCCCCTCAATCTCTTTCGGGAGGTGAGTCTGGGCAAGGATAGATGCATGAAAACCTGAGATTCATACTCAGCTACAAACAGTTACTAGAAATGTATACATATATATTTCTGCTAAGTGACAGTTTTAACCAGTAATATAAATCTGCACTGTAGGTAGTACATGGCTCAGATGTACGTGCAGTACAGACATCTTGAGGAATATACTTAATCTGGTGTCAGCTACTAGCACCAGGTGTAATATTCCCATAGCTCACGTTCCTGGAAACGGCAAGATGTAAGCAGCTGCTGTAGTAATTGCCAGTTGGAAACTGGTAACAGAAGCCAAAGTATACACTCACCGGCCACTTTGTTAGGTACACCTGTTCAATTGCTTGGTAGCACAAATTGCTAATCTGCCAATCACATGGCATGTTGACATGGTGAAGACGACTTGCTGAAGCTCAAACCGACCATCAGGATGGGGAAGAAAGGGGATTTAAATGACTTTGAGCATGGCATGGTTGTTGGTGCTAGATGGACTGTTCTGAGTATTTCAAAAACTACCTATCTACTGGGATTTTCATGCACAACCATCTCTAGGGTTTACAGAGAATGGTCTGAAATATTCAGTGAATGGCAGTTGTGTGGACGAAAATGCCTTGTTGATGTCAGAGGTCAAAGGAGAATGGGCAGACTGGTTGCTGCGACATTCAGATGGTAGGGTCAGAATTTGGCGTAAACAACATGAAAGCATGATTCCATCCTGCCTTGTATCAACGGTTCAGGCTGGTGGTGGTGGTGGTGTAATGGTGTGGGGGATATTTTCTTGCACTAGCAAGGTGTACCTAAAAAAGTGACCAGTAAGTGTATATCGCCAGCACACCACAGATCTTTGAAGTACTGTTCAAAGGTTTTTCAGGTGATCACATCACAGTGCTTAAGTGCAACGTTTAATGACTACGTAGGACCCCTTCATCAGGCATACTTGAAAAAGAAGTCCTGTGTGGCCCTGAAACATTGGTCTTTACCATTGTGATGCTATCACCTCCATAAACGTTCAGACAGTATTATAAAGATCCATGATGTGTTAGCGATGTATACTTTAGCTACCAGCACCAAGCCCCCAAATAGAAATGTTGATTAAAATTGGACCTGTGGTTTGCAAATGCAGGTCAAGACAAAATGTTTCACTTAATGGCCTATTACCCTCATACTCCTTCTTTTTTTTTACCTTCCATTTGGTCTGCTGCTACTACTCCGTTCATTTGTGGGGGTGAAGTTTAAAAAAAAGCCTTTGGACTTTAAAGTTGCATGAAAAGTCGTACCCCATGTTTTCCAATGATAGCCATTCATATATGTGCGACTTAAAGTTGCAGAGACTTCAAGTAGTTAATGCACTACTTTGGTCTGACTTTCATGCAACTTGAGGGCCATAGACTTCAATGTTAACCCTCAAAAGTTGCATGATCGTCATACCTGAATGCATTACATGCAACAGTGGGTCTGACTTTGCAGAGGGACAAGTCACATCCAAGTCACACCCATCCAAAGTTGTCTCAAAATTGCACCAAAGTTGCTCTCTAAAGTCAGCAGGACTTTGGAGTTGTACAAGTGTGAATGAAGTAGATCTGACTAACTAAGGCCTAGTACAGTGGTCGGCAAGCCGCGCAGCTCGCGAGCCACATGCGGCTCTTTACAAACTTTAATGCGGCTCTTCTGTGTGCCGGGCGCCCGCTCCCCTCCCTCCTCTCGGGCGGCCGCCTCAAAAGTCAGGACTCTGCAGCTAGCCCAGCAATGGGCAAACTACGGCCTGGCGGACCTTTTAATCCGGCCCGCGGAGCGTGGCAAACATTGGCTGTCAGGATGTAGGCGGGGCAGCGTGACGAACTCCTCTCCTCTCACAGTCCGCCCTGAAGACCGGAACGGCGCGGGAACACGGCGAGAGGAAGGCGCGGAGCAAAGGTAAGTGAATTGACACAATATGGGGAATGAATTACTATAGGGGGGATGAATTACTATAGGGGGGATGAATTACTATATGGGGGATGAATTACTATGGGGGATGAATTACTATATGGGGGATTAATTACTATGGGGGATGAATTACTATATGGGGGATGAATTACTATGGGGGATGAATTACTATATGGGGGATTAATTACTATGGGGGATGAATTACTATATGGGGGATGAATTACTATGGGGGATGAATTACTATGAGGGATGAATTACTATATGGGGGATGAATTACTATGGGGGATTAATTACTATGGGGGATGAATTACTATGGGGGATGAATTACTATGAGGGATGAATTACTATATGGGGGATGAATTACTATATGGGGGATGAATTACTATGGGGGATTAATTACTATGGGGGATGAATTACTATGGGGGATGAATTACTATGAGGGATGAATTACTATATGGGGGATGAATTACTATATGGGGGATGAATTACTATGGGGGATGAATTACTATGGGGGATTAATTACTATATGGGGGATGAATTACTATGGGGGATGAATTACTATATGGGGGATGTATTTTCAGTTTTAAAAATGTGGCTCTCAAAATAAAATTTCAATCGTGGTTTTGGCGAGATTTGGCTCCGTTGAAAAAAAAGGTTGCCCACCACTGGCCTAGTAAGTAGACCTTAGGCCTAAAAGCCCCAGTCCATTGGACAGCACTTGGGCCTAGTTACTAGATGGTCAGGAATCCCATGCAGAATCATGGGATTAAAGTAAAATATTCACGTTTCCCTATACCCAGAAGTACCATGCATTTAACTTCACTCCAGCAGTTGAGCAGAGCAATGGGAGTGCAAATAGAGGGTGACTATGTGCAGATAGGGGGGGGGGGTGCAAATTAATGAACCTGTGTGATAAGCTTTTTGAAGTATTTCTCACTTTGCTGAAATATTCACTGTTAGGGCCTCATAAAAAGGTTCCTGTTTATCACCCACCCTAGAATCGATCTGTGTGAGAATAGGAAGAGTAAGAATCCACTCTGCCCACCTCTAGTACAAAGAAGCCCCAAGTCCTACAGGCTTCAACACTTGCCTGCTCCCATGGTTTGTCCACCCCTGCATAGATTTGTGTATTGTATTCAAGTCTGAGCACAGATGTTTTCATTATTATTATTATCACATAATCCACCAATTGGCAGTAGCTGTAGCATGGTGCATTGCGGTGAACTAACTGGGTTGTGATATGAAGAATTCTTGGCAATAGAAACAAAGAAGTAACAGGCCATTGTACCAGATGTACTGGATTCACTTCACTGTACCAGCAAATCAGCCCTGTAGCCGGATTATCATTTTCTTTTTAGTTCTTTTTGTTCAGTTACTCTTATACAGTTTTTGGGCATTCGCCCACGTTAGCAACGCAACGCACATCTGACATCAATGTACCAAACTCCCATATCTATGGAAAACAGAAGCTGCCTCTAATGACTACATAGCCTACACTGTGTATACCCAAAATTGAGCAAACAGTTTTACACATCAGATTACCAGCAATGCTAACCCACTCCATGCAGAGATGGTTTCTGTCTTTCTGCTCAGATAGATAATACATTTCACTAATTCTGAAATCAGTACTATTAAAGCAGAAGTTTAGGTAAGCAGATACACAGAAAAAATATCCAACCTGCCAAATGCCTTGCAGCTCAGTTCAGCCAGCCTTGTAATCTAGGCTCAAATTTGTACTTTGTGTTGCTGTGCGCTTAGGACATGCAAATAGGCCTTACCACCCAATTCAAAATATTTTCAAGCAAAGCAAACCAAACAAACCAAAAACACACCAATGACCGCAGCAGTTCTATAAGGTGCTGTAGTAACACTCTACATTCAAAAGATGGATAATGAACCACGCATGCCACTCTCTATTATTAATTACAAGAAAAGTGACCCTGGCTGCCCATGTGAACAGGCCCTAATTGAAGCGGAGAAAAAGTGAGGTCACCATTCTGTATTCTGCTGCTGTCTAGATTACAAGGCTATATATTCAAAAGGTGGTTAATTGACCCGCTCATGCCACTCTATTATTAATTGCAAGAAAAGTGACCAGAATAAAGTCTATGGTATGCAACTAAATAAAAGTCCCCAATTTATAAACTGTGAGGGTGCTCGTGCACCAACTTTAATTAATGTGCTCCACTTGTCAGTACTCGAGGTGCCCCACATAGACTGGGGACTTTTATTTAGTTGCATATTATAGCACTTTATTTTGGTCACTTTTCTTGTAATAATTAATAGAGAGTGGTATGTGCGGTTCAATTATTCATCTTTTGAATGTATAGCCTTGTAATCTAGATCAGTGTTTCTAAACCTTTTTTCAGTCAAGGCACCCTAAAAAATTATGGACAATCCCAAGGCACCCTAAAAAATTATGGACAGTCCAGAGGCACCCTTTAAAAATATGGAAAGTCTTGAGGTACCCCATTCTAAAATGTGAAAAACTATTCTAATAGTTTTATATAACGCAGCAATATCCACACATGTAGGGCACCCAACATTAGAGGTGATTTATTCTTCCAAAGAAAATACACTTTTGCACACCGGTACTGACTAGTATTCCAATGTTTCTCTTCTCCCTCAGTTTTTTTCCATCACTGAGCTAATGTGACCCCAGCACTGATGGAGAGGGACAGGGGAGGGTCAAACTAGGATGCTGTGCAGGCAGCTGACATCCTCCTTATCAACTGATGATGTCATTGGTTGTCAGGATGGTGGCGGCTAGAAGGTCATAATGATGCACATTGAAAACCTGTGGCTTTGTAAAACTAAAAGGCAGGCTTGTTCCACCCGCTGGCTTGTATACAATTTCTGGGCAATTTTTAGCATAGCACCCCTAAAAAAACCTCAAGGCACCCTGGTTGAGAAAGGCTGATCTAGAAAGCAATGGTATACAGAATGGTGACCTCACATTTTCTCCACTACAGTTAGGGCCTGATCACATGGGTGGTCAGGGGGCAGTAAAAACAAATAGCTGAGCTGCAGTTTCACGCTGTCCCCTCCCAATCACCCACCTAAAACAAGGCATGTTGCCAGGGCTTCTGTTAGAAACCATGGGGCCCCATACAGCCAACCTGAAAGCCCCCCCCCAAAAAAAGGAAAGTTTACTATGCTTCAGTTATGAATCAACAGTGAGTGATTGGTTCCGATCACTCATTGTGTTCATTCAGGAAAGGAAGGGGCTGGTAAATATGACATCTTTACCAGATCCTTTACCCACTCTTCATCCTGAAGCATCCTATTGTGTGCTTGCAGCTGTCAGGGGGAAACAGAGGAGGGAAGCCGCCAGCCCTGGTGGTTGGGGGCACACTGGGGGGCCTGAGCAGCAGGTTGGAAATGTGTGGTGTACAGGGATGGTCATGAGTGCAGCAGGGAGCAATTACTGGAACCGATCCCTTGTATGGAGAGGAGAAGAAGCCAGCTTTCAGCTGCTGCAGAGAGAGCCATACAGGGGATTTGTTACAGTAATTGCCCCCCGCGCTGTGCTGATCACCCTCCCTGTCCACATCCGATTCACATAGCTGCCTGGGCCCCCCCTGCTGGCCTGGGCCCCGTACAGAAGGACTGGTGGTACCCCCTTATCCACGGCCATGCACGTTGCTACTCAGGGCTTTTTACATGCCATGGCAAACATTAAACTGCATGTTGTATTCAGTGGGCAGTACTGCTGCTGAATGAGGCCCATTTAAGGGCAATAGCTCTAGCCACCCTACTGAAAAGGAATCCACAGTGGATCGCATGTCAGAGGGTTCTTGACAGATGGTAAGGAGGTAATATGTCACCTCCTCACTACTGATTTTAACTGTCAAAAAAGGCAGATCCACTGTACCAGAACTGCATGCATTGTGAACATGCCCTAAGTGTACTGTTCTGTGCCACAGGGCATGCAGTTGCTGCACATGGTTCAGCCTTTTAAAGGGTTAAAACAGGTGGTAGGATGTCAACATATTGCTTCCTCTCTGCCTGTAAAATGCAAGGACGGCTGCACATCAGAATAAGCCCTTAGAGAGTGCAGCTTGGTTATCTACCCCCCTGCCATTTTCTTTTTTTTTTTTACTGAAGTTATAACATTTCTCTGGGGTGGGTGTAAATGGTAAATTCCATTGGAAGTGTGAATTTTTTTTTGGCTGTAATTACACAAGTTCTGTGCAGATTTCTGCAGTCAGCCAATCATACAAGCAGAAAAATGAGATTTCTGAATTCATTCTGTACACCAACAGTTTACAGTACTCCCACGGTGCACCTGGTTGCAAGAAAGTGACATATGAATTTTGCTCGGTTTGAGCAAATCTTATCGGGCTGCAAGATTTAAATGGAAAGAGTATTTCTAATGAACATTAAAAACTATTTTCCTGCACTCAGTTCAGCTAGCCAGCACAGCTAACGATAAACTGTTTCTAACATTTATTTTGAAGACAGTAAGGTTTGTTGCATGTATTTGCCAATGTACATGAAGCCACAATGCCCGGCCAAGGTGCATCTGTGAAAAGTGTTCCTTCCTACTCAAATCTATGGCAACATCCAAACTGCAGCATAAATAGCAATAAATAAAGTGCATACTTAGTGGTGGAGTCCAGATTCACCCGTGAAAGCTAATGTCCCTTGTATGTGTCTTCGCCAAATATAATTCCAAACAGTGGCAACCAATCAAATCATTTTATGTTTTGCAGGACCAATTCTTTGCTATTCCTTTGGTGGTACCATATAGCAAACCAACTTTTTTTTTGTTAGTTTACCATTTTAAGCACATTTAAACCCACTTACTAAAATGCCATGTAGGATTTACTATGTGTAATGTAATATAAAAAGTTGTTTTAAAATCATTTTAGGTTTTCAGCGTTCATTAAAATAATACCTGTTGATTCTGCCATAAAGGTCCTTGTTCATAACTTCCTGTTAAAGTTTATAAACACTCCACATCGCAAAATAATTATTAATGTGTAAAAAAGTCCAAATAAAGTCCCAAAGATATATAAAAAATATATAAATTGTGCTCAATCCCAAAAATAGTGCCCAAAAAAATCTTCAAACAAAATTTGCTCACACCATCCGTGATTAGTGCTCTAATCCCCACTCACCAGATGGAATGGACTCTTTGCTGGTATGGCTAAAGAGTCAAACAAGCTTTATAGACTGGGCATATCCTCCCCAGATACCTCTGCACTTGCTATCCTCCAAAAACGATTCCCATGATTAGATGACAATGAAAAACAAATAAAAAGACACAAATAGTGCAATACTGTAAAAAAAACTCTTTAATCCAAAAAAGCTGCCGTTCATGCCCTCACATGATAAAAGATATATTCACACTTTCATAATAGGCCCAGAGGCTCATATTATATGACAACAGTCCATAATTTGCAGAAGTGGACTGGCAGTGAATAATATGAATTCCTTTAGAAGGAAAGCAGGAAGTCACTCCGGAGCGCCGCAAACCGGCGTGCGCTCCACTCACCAGATGTGACGTCACTACGCATCCACCGGAACCGTTTAAAGTTTGCCAATTGACTCCCATTTGTCCTGGTGGAGACTACAAGTGACAGCGCTGCCACACATTGTACAGGAATTGTCCACAATTGTCACTATTAGGAATCCATCCAGAGCAATGATGTGTAACCGATGCTGGAATGAGTACCTGTAGACGGGAAGGTGACAACAGTATTTCATAGAAAAACAAATATAGCAGCTGTTTCTAATTCACAAGGCGTTAGGAAACTAAATTCATCTCAGTGCTACTGATCTTCTGCAGCCTCATTGGGGCTACTTCATGTCTACATGCATGTACTCCAGCAACAGCTGTATAGCATTTCAAAGGGAGGATTTCCTGATAGCAACAAAAGTATACCTTGCTTGTGTAATGTGCGTTGAAGCCCACACTTATATTCTCCATTGGAAGCCTGTGTGACAATGCAGAAGTGGAGTTTGGAAGTTGGGACAGAGAGTTGTCACCCTATAATAGGAAGAGTCTAGAAAGACTTTTTAGGCTGGATTACTAGGTATTATTTTAAAAAAAGCTGAAGATTTTAAAAGATTAAAAGGTTTACATCTCATTGGGCTGCAATTTAGGTAGTTAGGTGCTCCCCTGGACAGGAGGGTTAGGGTTAACTCCATTCCTGGGTTTTTGGTTTTGGCGGGATTCTTGGGTCTGACCCACTGGATCTGTGCATATAAAAGAGACAGTGGTCCGGAGCTCTTTGCAGGTATGCCAGGGCAGCATATAGGTTGGTTAGAAGTAGGGACTACGGGCTTAGGGATAGTGACTGTTTAATTGGAGTACTTGTTGAACTGTTCAGTCTGTTTTTGGACATTGTACTGTTGCACTTTCATCCAGTAAAGCATTAAACTTTGCCTTCTGCCTGGTCTTAGGTTCTTTAAATGGAGTGCACTGCAAGTAGCCATCACTATTGATGGGGAAGCCTACCCCAACCTCACCTAACACCCGACCTCACCTAACAACTAACCTCCTCCACTCCTCCCACCACTCCATCACCCACAGCCATCTCCTCCTGTACCACCTTCCCCTCCCTCCTAGATTGTAAGCTCGAAAGAGCAGGGCCCTTAAACCCCTTGTATAGTGTATTGTTACTGTCTTGTCTCATGTTCTGTCCCCCTTGCTACTGTACAGCGCTGAGCATACCCTTTGGCGCTATATAAATACTGTATTATAATAATAATAATATTGCACACTTAGTCTACAGTTTGGGTTACTAGCACATGAGGTATGAAGAGTCAGCACGTTAAGAGTCACCTCAGTGCAAGTTATACATGTGGTTGTCATGAGCAACAAAGGTAAAGTTAGCAAACAGCTTGTCGTAAATGTGTACCTGTTATAGGGGGAATTGAGGGAAATGTTGTCGGCACTTCCTATGTTGCATTCCGTCTCTCTCCTGTACAGAGGTACGGAAAGTTCAAACGTTAAAGTCAAGTTCATGTTGGAGCCTGCACTATATGCACAGTGGATGGGGTTCCATGCTTCTAATGGGACCAGTAGTGGGAAACACTGGACAGCTGATTGTGGTCAGTGTTTGGCTTGGCCCACCTAATTGCAAGCCATAGTGGAAGATTCACATTTACCCAGGGACCTAAGAGTAACTGGAGAACAGTTATGGTGCAAGTTTACACAGTGTATCTCTAAAGTCAGAGGTCCAACCTAAGGTCCAGTATCCCCCCACAGCAGCCTCAGACTTGTCCCAGGGCATTGATGAAATGGCACTTTAATAGAAGTACACCTTGTGTAGGAGAGTAACCCTGTCTCAGGTACCTAGCGTAGCCCAGAGGATGTGACCCAAACTTGGCACCCAACGAGTTAATTTGGAAACGTGGAGGAAGGTCCACCATCCATCCCTACATACTTTAAATTAGTCTCAGTGAAAACACACCGCCTGTTATTTTCTATTGGTATGTATGTGTTTTGTTACCTGTCACATATCTGGTGTTCTCTCCTATAGTGGCAACTCGGAGCACAGCACAAGAACAGCTTCAAGGTTGGGATGAAGTTAGAGGGGATTGATCCTCAGCATCCATCCATGTACTTCATTCTGACTGTGGTTGAGGTGAGATGGACATAATCTTCTTCCTAGAAAATGATAAACAAGAAGAATATGTACACATGATAGCAGAGTCAATCAGATACATTACATCCTTTTAAAAAGCCACTAAAATAATAATCATTATGTACAAAGTGGTTCAATGTTAAAGCCTACAAACAATATTGCTGGATAAATACCTATGTTAAAGTGGTGTAGTGGGAAGGGACGCTCTTCTGCATAATTTTTCTATAAAAGTATACTTCCAACAGACACTTTTACAAAATTGTTGCCAAATAAATTAATCTCTCTATGGTAATATGGGTTGGAATTTTAGTAATGCCATTATAAGTGTTAAGATTACTATTGCACTCCATAAAAAAAGTTCTAAAGTGACTTTGTCAGGTCAGAGTAAAGCTTAATAAATATTTTCCGGTACAAAAGGAATGTGAACACTTACCACTCAGGTCAAGTGGAACCAAGAGTTCTGGGAATGACGATCTCTTGTGTGCCCTGCAGTTCACAGTGGTTCCTCCCTGCTGAACCCTACATCTCTATAGGACACAGAGCTCATTGATCCCTGTAGAGCAGTGGTCTCCAAACTGTGGCCCTTTGATTGCTGTTATCTGACCCTTGGGGTACTGTTTCATCCACTGATACCAACAATAGGGCATAATTCCCCCCACTGACACCAATGAAGGGGCACAATTCCTCCCAATGACACCAACGATGGGGCACAATTCGTCCCAATGACACAAATGAAGGGGTACAATTCCTCCCAATGACACCAACGATGGTGCACAATTCTTCCCAATTACATAAATGATAGGGAACAATTTCTCCCAATGATACCAACAATGGAGCCCAATTTCTCCCAATGACACCAATGATAGGGCACAATTCCTCCCAATGACACCAACAATGGGGTACAATTCCTCCCTCTGACACCAAAGATGGTGCATTGCTTTTTCCCTCTGATGTGGGACCTTTTCTACTTCCACTGGCCACAGTCTGGCCCCCGTTAACTCTGCAGGACATTAAACTTGCCCTTTGTTTAGAAAGTCTGGAGACCCCAGCTGTAGAGGAATGAGCTATAAGTAAAGAGAGCCAGACTTTCTTGAATTGAAAGATGCATAGACTCGGGGAACAACTTTCTATTACTTCTATACATACCATTAGTATAACCTCATTTTGAATATGTAATTCAATTTTGGAACCGTTTCACGTAAAGCATGTTGTAGATCTGCAAAGAGTGTAGAAAAAGGCAATTAAATTAATAAGGAGCATAGGGAGCTCAGCCATGAGGAAAGATCACATTAACTGAATTTATTTTTCTTTAATACAAAGTGTTTAATAAAAAAAAATGTAGGTGGAATTGGAAACCATCTCTTGCGCACCCAATCTTTGCCCTGGACCCGGCCAAGCTTGTGGCCCCTGTCTTTTAGCTCCTTGATGAAACACACTTTGAGAATCTGGGATGGCCTCAAATAGTCTAGCAACCTTATTTTTGCCCCCCTTCCACTACTCCCCCTAATGGGTAATCCCCTTTTTCCACCTGTCCTTGACTCTCTATCCACATTTTCCTGGTGTAATGCACATGGCTTCACTTCAGCCTTCTCACTTCTGGAGAATTCCTTGGTTATATCCTCACCCACCCTTTGGGAATGATACAAGGCCCTGACCTCTGAACTATTTTGATATACCCAACTCCGACATTGGCTTCTGCCTCTCATTCGCGATAAGGACCTCTCCCCCTCCTTAACTGTCTTTGAACATATATACCATTGCACCCCCTGGCATTCAAACTGATTTCTGGCATGCATTGCTACCTCTTCTCTAACCACTTCATCGGGACTACAGCCACCACACCCGATCACTAGGGGTCACTTGAACCCATCTTATTCGCAACCCAAAACCAAAAATGTATTATGTATATGGCTGCATTAGTTTTCTTTTCTTTTGCTTTTTCCCCTATGTTTTCATCTGGTGATCTGGCCAGTAACACACCTCCTGTATTAGAGTGCCTCCATTCTGGATGAAGGAGCACGGGGGCACAGCAGGGGGGAGGGGAATGTTAAATGTATTAGCAGATTTACTGTAGATACACTAACAAATTAAAGCTCCACTCCAGCTAATACAATAATCAGTTACAGCAAACAATTTTTTTAATGTTGGGATAAAGGTTTCACGTGATTAAATAAAAGCTGATTTGTCTCAACCTTGTAAACTGATACATTCTGTTGGAGAGCTTCTTCTTTTGAAAAACAACAGACTTACTGGCTGGATCACTAGATGGAAATAAGAAAAAAAAGAATGTCTAAAAAAGAAAACTAATGCGCCCACCACATCTAAGAATTGATAAGCTTTAATATAATAAATGTTTACTTTTGTGTTTAATACCGCTTTAATAAACAACAGCCATCTCCTCTTAAAGTGGTTCTAAAGGCTGAAGGTTTTTCTTTTTACCTTATTGCATTATCTGTATTAAAGCCTTCTGAGTGCAGCTCCCCCTCCAGCCATTCCTTACCTGAGCCCAATGTGCACGAGAGTAGCAGCTCCTTCTGCTCTATCCCTCATCATAGGTTCAGAGGCAGCAGCAGCTCCTAATGCTGTCAATCACAGCCAGTGAGGAGGAAATGGGGGGCAAGGTTGAGCAATGCTGTGTGTGTCAATAGGCAAACACAGGAGCGAGCCTGCACAAGTGCCCCCATAGCAAGTGGCTTGCTATGGTGGGAACCAGGGGCAGACTGACAACTCATGGGGCCCCCGGGCATTAGGAGATCATGGGGCCCCTGTGTCCTTGTTCAAACTCAAAAAAGCCTATGAAAAAGGTACCAGGGGCATCTCATGGAGCCCCCTACTGACCCCGGGCCCTCGGGCAGTGCCCGAGTTTCCAAATGGTTAGTCCGCCCCTGGTGGGAACTCAGCAGGGAGGAGCAACCGGAATACCTGTGGGGGATCCAAGAAGAGGAGGGCTGGGGCTGCTCTGTGCAAAAACATTGCACAGAGCAGGAAAGTATGACATGTTTGGGTTTTTTTTTTTTTAATCACAGGTTTACAATCACTTTAATATCTTGATATCTAATCCAAATTACCAGGAGCACATATATGGCTATGTCATGTCAGGTGTCCACTGGAACCTAAAATTCAATGCTTTTAAAGATGTTCTCTAGCAGGGGTGGACTGACAACGCATGGGGCCCCTGTATCCTCTCCCACACTCAAACCACACCCAAAAAAACCTATGAAAAGTACCAGGGGCATCTCATGGGGCCCCCTACTGACCCCGGGCCCTCGGGCAGTGCTCGAGTTCCCAAATGGTCAGTCCGCCCCTGTTCTCTAGTTTGACAGGACACCTAATGCCTGGCTATTACACTTTATACTATAATACTATAACAACACTCTAGGATAAGCTATCCTCACTTCATAGGAAGGACTTTTAACCATTGATGTGCAATTGAGACAACACATTCACAAGTACGTCTTCCTCTATCTACAGTATGTAGCACCATGCCCTAGGTTGCATAAATTTTGTTTTTTGGTTCTGCTGTACCCAGCTGACTCTTAGGGCTCCCTAAGGTTGGTGGATAGTTACTTCTGCCTGCCTCTCAGAAATTGAGTTGGAGGATCAGCCACTGGGTTATGAATATTTATCTGATCTCAGCCAATCCTGGGAGGTAGACCCAGAAGGTGTGGCTGGGGAGAAGATAAACATTTTGGGGGGTCTGTCCAGAGCTCTCTGTCTGCTGGGGCCCCTGCCCCTGGCAGGCAACCTTTGTTACTGATGAGTTGCAGTTATTAGGCCTCAACATGTGCTTGGCTGAGTATACGAAGGAGCCTGGATTAAGGAGAATTTGCTGGAGGACATTACCTTAGGGAGCTGGGCTGGAGAAGGACCCCTGTCACAGAAGAGTGTTGCAGCCAAGCTGGTTGAGGAACTGATTCTGGACATTGTGAGTAGGACCTTTTGCCTAGAGCTTCAGGTCTGCCTGTGCTTTGAGAGTTAGACACCAAAGGTTGCTATAAGAACTGTGATTCTCTTACAGAATCTCAGACTTGCTGGCTGTGCCCTGTACCTCCAGCAATACTGAAGATCTTTGCTGCAGAATCTGTCCTTTAATATCTGCATGTGTTTTGGATTATTTTGCACTCTCATCCACCGCCTGTTTTCAAGTACTACAATAAATAGTCAAAAAGACAACCCTAGACTAAGCCTGTGTGTGTCAGTGTGTTCTGGAACTGGTATCTAGGTCTGGCAGACTCTGATCAGGTAAGGGAGATCTGGTTTATTTCCAACGGCCCCTTTGGTGGTAATAACTACATCTTTTTACAATAGCATTTTTATTGTAGAGCCACCTACTATTCTAATTCTGATAACAGATATCTACTAAGGGGAAACAGACCCCAAGATCAAAAATTGTACACAACTCTTTAGATAACAAAAACAAACAAAAACCTAAATCTCAACTTCACCCTAAAGGGGAAGTTCCTCTTCATGTACTCCTCCCCCCTCCTCTACCATATTTGGCACAATACATTTTTTGGGGGATCGAGTACCTAGTTTTGATAGGTACCTGCTCCCACTTAGGTGATCTGAACAGAAGTTTGGCCCCCCTCTTTGACCGCAGCCTTCTAGGACATGCCACAAGTCTCAGAAGGCTGTGGGGCCATTCGAAAAGTGCTCACACCTGTGCAGTGGGAAGGTAGTTGTGAAACCACAAGGAGTTTGCGCTGAGAACCCAGAGACTGGCGAAGAACCAGCCCGAGTGAGGGCAGCCCTGGATCCCTGGATCCTCTTTAAAATAGTTTTGAACATACAATGTTATAGACACTTTCTTATATGGTCAGGGTTTTTTCAGCTGGAATTTGGTGGAACTTTATACCACCACTGGCTGGCTCAGGCCCTCTGCTCCCTGCTCACCACAATCACAGCCAGTGAGCCAATGAGGAGGGGGGGGTGAGGCCGAACCATGGCTCTGTGTGCGAATGGACACACAGCGGAGTGGCTGTGGAGCAAGCCTGTTTTGGTGCCCCCATAGCAAACTGTTTGCTCTGGAGGCACTTGGCAGGAGGTTGGGGCCAGGAACACAGGCCGGGGACCCCAGAAGAGGAGGATCGGGGTTGCTGTGTGCAAAACCACTGCACAGAGCAGGTAAGTATAACATGCTTCTTGTTACTGTTTTTTTTAATTAACTATAATATAACTTTAAGACCTGTACTGCATATTCTAGTTCTCATATCCATTTTGTTTCTCTTTGCAATAACTTTTTTATCGAAAAAAAAAAAAAACAAGGTGTCCCTCATGCTTGAATTGAATGTCTCTATCAATGAGGAATCATATTATTAGTATTGTTGTTCATATCACAAAAATGACTGTATAACCTTTTTTGCACAGTCCTGATTAGGTTGCCACATAGAAGCACCCACATTCACATGTCAAGATATATCCTACACACCATGTTAATCGAGATAAAGGTTATTTCAGCGTTCTGCAAGTGGATAATTGTGAAAAATCACCTTCTCCGAATTTCAGGGTTCTACAAGTGGATAATTGTGCAAAATCACCCTCTCTGATGTATTTACAATACTCACACCTTCCAAATCTCTTCACTCCTGTCCTTAATTGAGTATTCCCTTGAGTATTTTCTACTCCATCCAGAATGAAAAGTTTAGACTTTAGTTGTACTTTAATTGATCAGTTTTGGGTGGACTAACCTGGTAAACGTGATCATTTCTTTTATAAGGTGTGCGGATTTCGGATAAAGCTCCACTTCGATGGGTACTCTGACTGCCATGACTTCTGGGTGAATGCTGACTCTCCTGATATTCATCCTGCGGGCTGGTGTGAAAGGACGGGACACAAGCTACAACCTCCGAAAGGTCATGAAACAGGCTTTCATTTTTTTTTAGATTTTCTGAAGAATAAAAAAATAAAACGGTTTCTTCCACCGGCTTTCAGCTTACTTTCTCTGAGCAGTTATTACAGAAGGATTTGATTCAACATTACAGCAAATGCTAAAGCTGTTTAGCAAGATTCAGTCTGCTAACTCCAAATCCTTTTTTCCGTCTGTTTTTTTTTGTCAGAAGAGTAGAAAGCTAGCCATGCTCTAACAGAATTTAGTTTGAAAAATTTCATTTTCAGAACGTTTTCTATTACTTAGAAGGGTCAAATATCCAAAAGGGATAGCAGCGCAGATATTTAATAGAGTCCTTTTGCTTCATGTCCAACCCTACACAAAAATAAGGGTGAGTTGAAGTCTAACTGATCCTTTATATTTTAAAAGGGGTATTCACTCAAGTGCATAAATAGTAACTTGGACCATTGCTCTCATACAGTGTGCAGTGGTTTGGGTCTTCAGTGGTCCAACACACCCCCTGCACTGTGCACCATTCAACAACAGTACTCAGGAAGTATGGGTGTTGTTAATTGTGCTGAGTGTTCTGCTCTGGGTGCCTGAGATGGTAGAAAAATATATTTTGAATGTATTTTAAAAATATTCTTCCCAAATATATTGACATATACAGTATTTGAAATACTAAAATTTTGGCCGTATTCAATATATTTAAAATAAAGAAATAAAGAAAGAAATAAAGAAATAATATACTGTATGTTGAAATGCATTTTTATTACAAAATATAAAAAATATTTTTAAAAATAAATTTTCAGATATACTGTATGTCTGTAAAAATACATTCATTCTACATTTTTGGAATGCATTTACATATATATGTAAAAATATATGTTAAAATGACTTTTTTTTATATGTTAAAAAAAATCTGAAGAATACATTTAAAACAAAATATTGAAAAAAAATATTTTTCATATATTTTGTAATATATAAAAAACGCATTTCAACATGCAGTATATATATATATATATATATATATATATATATATATATATATATATATTTTTTTTTTTTTTAATATATTGAATACAGCCAGAATTGTAGTATTTCAAATATATGTCAATATATTTGGGAAGAATATTTTTTAAAATATATTTAAAATATATTTTTCTTCCATGTGGGAGGACCACTGCTGGACAACTGCACTCTGTGGGAGATTAGCAGTCCAGGTCTGTAGCATTCTGCCAGGAAGGTTTAATATAGTAGTAAAGCACTATGGGAGGGGCTTTTTGCTAAAGTCACATGACCAGCCCTAACTTGTGATTGTCGCAATGGCAGGGAGTCAGTCAAATGAGCAGGGAATTACTTTAATGGGAACTTTCTGTGCGCCAATAATTTACAAGATGCTTTCATACAAAGAATACTGGTTTGGAAATTTTGTACCAAAAGTGGAGTTACTCTTTAATGTTGGTAAACAAACTGAAATCAATATTTTATTTGCAGCAAACTAAGAAAAGTATTTGACATTTGTGTAAAATTGTAAAAATAAATAATAATAACTGTTTCCACATTCCTAGATTATTCTGTTCTTTACATATAAATGCATTGCTGGGACACTTACTCTCTGCTTTCTGCGATCAGGATACAAAGATGAAGACTTCAGTTGGACACATTATCTGAGAATGACGAAAGCCCATGTGGCTCCGAAACATTTTTATTTGTAACCCCCAAAATTGTGAGTTTACGTTTTACTATTTGTAACAGTTGTCTCTTTTTTTTTTTTTTGATTCTATCTATTGGTTATATAATCTATATAACTGAATCTCCCCTCTAAATACATACCATAGCCATTTCCTTTCCCAGATCCCAACACAAAGGCTGATGGCATCAGTCATTCCTCCTTGTACCTAACTTTGCGACATGCAGATTTCAGCAGTCTTGGGCTATTGACAATTCTCATTAGTAATTAATACTCATTATTCAATTCATTATTATACAATTCTCATTAGTTTCTTAAATAACAGGGTGCTCCCCCATCACCGTTCCGGGTGGGAATGAAGCTGGAGGCTGTGGACAAGATGAACCCTTCCCTTATCTGTGTGGCCAGCGTTACTGATGTGGTAGAAGAGAGATTCCTTGTGCACTTTGACAACTGGGGTGACACCTATGACTACTGGTAGGAAGGGCATGTATCTGTTATGGAAGTGGCTATAACAAATATGACTTTTGGTCACAATGGTAAATAACAGTAATATCCATTTTACTTGCTTTATTATTATTTGTATAAAGGTTCATTAAAAAGATAATCTGTCATGGTTAGGGGTCAAGCTCGGAGACCAGTAGCTATAGTAGTAGAGAGGCTCCCACTGACCAGCAGGATAGGTATACAAGCAGGTCACCCTGGCAGATGACTAGCACTCACCCGAGGTGCGGGGTTTAAGCACTAACCAGTCTTCACCAGAGCTCCTGATGGTGGAGATGGGTTTTGCTGCATGTTAGTACCAGATCACGCTCCTCAGGATCGCTCCACCAGGAGGTGAGCAATCTGGGGTTCAGTAGCAGATATAGCAGGTAGGGATCAAGCAGAAGTGTAGTCGAGAAATAAGCCAAACGTTGGTAAGAAGTGCCTGCAGGTTGGGATCAAGCAGAAGCATAGTCAAGGAACAAGCCCAAGGTCAGTAATGAGTGGTAGTGGATATACAAACAGCAGCAGGAGTGACAGGAGCAAGATATTGGCTGGAGAGAGCACAATAATCTGGCCAACAGGAAGTGCAGAGACATGACTTAAATTAGGAAGTTCCTGGAAGGAGCAAAGGGTTCAAAGTTCAAGAGAAATAAGGTTCAAGGCAAAATCATTCAAGAAAATGTCCAGGGAGCTGCCCAACATCCCAGGTGGCTCAGCAACAAGAGACATCGCCAGACCCAGCAGAGGTTGCAGGTTCAGACCCAGGTCCTGATATACTCATTCATGACAAAGTGAGGCCTCCCCTCTGTCAGATGTTAACCTCATCTTCTCCCCCACTACCTTTTTGTCCATCTGGAGCCATGAGTAGTAAGCCCTGTGTAAGCTCTATAGCCTGTTAAAGAATACACAGGGCTGTTGACCTTCCCACTGCCCTCACATGACAGTGATCTGGCATGGTGATTGGCTGCCAAGGCAATTGGCACTGATTTGTGGGAGGAAGGTAAGAAGCTCACATGTTCCCCCATAATTGGAAGTGCCTGTACTTCCAGGAGCTCCAGAAAGTGGACAAAACTGCAGGGAAGCTCAGCAAAACTATCAAATTTGAGGGTAACCCTGAAACTCAGAGTGACAGGTTACTTTAAGAAGAAGGGCATAATAAGTACAGTATTGAATACCAACCAATGATATTTCTTTGCCCTTCTCTAAAGTGTGAAATCTGATTGGTTGTTTTATGGAACTGAATTCAGCAAGATAGTATACAGTGCAACAACATTTTGTTCAAATTAAATGAACCAATTTATATTTTATAGTTTTGTAACACACATCATTGTGATTAATGTTTCCATCTTGAAATTCAAAAACATTTTTACTGGTAATATTTGTGTTCATTGTGTGGTTGAGCACCACTATAGTCATGTTATGAATACATCATTCTCTTGCATATCCTATAATAGTGTTACAATATAAGCACATTGTGCAGACATATACCTTTCCTCCTAGGTGTGACCCCAGCAGTCCCTATGTGCACCCCGTTGGCTGGTGTCAGGAGCACGACAAGCCTCTTACACCTCCTCAGGGTAAGATAAACTGCTATATTTACTTACATTCTTTTTGTGATACAAATATGTGCTAACAAAGTTGGAATAGTCATTTATTTTCTGTACTCCAAGATTAACCTCAATACAAAAAAACTGATGTTGACTTACCATTAGGCCTTCAGCAGTGCCTATCCTGCACCTCCTTTTCATATTTTAGGTGGGTTGGAATGGATTAGATTCATCTTTAGGTCTTCACTGTTATCTTAGATCCAGATAAATAGATCTTTCCCACACTCTGACACTCATGGATAATCTTGGCTATACAGATGAACTACCTTTGTCAAACCAGCCATACATGGATCAAAATTCACTGGTTCAACAGGGACCACCCGAATTTTGACCCATGCATGGGCAACAACCTCTGAGATTTTCAAATAGCTATGTGATTAATGCACATCACTCCTGTGCTGTGAGAATATATGAAAAATTAATTGGAGAGGTGACTACAGTATGTTGAGCGAAAAGCCAAGTCAGAGAGGATCTTCAGTTGGTTTGTAAAAATGATAAGTACTGTAGCTGCTGACTTTTAATAGAAAGACAATTAGGTTCTTCTCCAGTCTTCGGGTCCCCCCTGGGATATTTACTGTGTGAAGCCATCTGTAACTCACAGCTAGCTTCCCAATGCGGATGCGCAAGCCGTGCTGTGTGCAGGGGCGGACTGACAACTCATGGGGCCCCCGGGCAATAGGGGATCATGGGGCCCCTGTGTCCTTGCCCAAACTCAAAAAAACCTATGAAAAAAAGATACCAGGTGCATCTCATGGGGCCCCCTACTGACCCAGGGCCCTTGGGCAGTGCCCGACTTTCCAAATGGTCAGTCCGCCCCTGGCTGTGTGAATGGTTCTCAGCCTCCTGAGATCTGTGACGTGTCCCAGGATGTGGTGGGTGGGGGGTTTGCTTTCCCGTGGAATCGCCTAGACAGTGGGAGTGGGTACCTGCCAAAGCTAGGTACTAGTCGTCCCTTTAGGGTGAAGTTCAACTTTAATCATGTCATAGCTGTACTGAGCACTAAAGGACCTCACACAGGTTTTTTTTTATTCCAAATGTATCCTGTCTAGGGAGATGATGATCAAATCACCTTACAAGTTAATATCTATAAATTAGAATTCTTAGAACATTGTTCTACATCGAGCAACTGTCTTGTTGCAGATTTTCCAGATCCAGATAACTTCACATGGGAATCGTACCTGGCTGAAACCGGAACTACAGCAGTGCCTGCCCGAGCCTTCCACACGGTATGTCCATCACCTGACAAAAACATTATTAATTGTTTCCTAATAAAAGTCAAAGTTTTTTTTAAGTCTTAAGACATATCCAAGGTCTTGTGAGCTGCATTATATTATATTTTTGATCTTGGGGGTTTAGATACACTTTAAATATAAAAATGTGTATATTAACAATTAGGGGAGGCTCTGTACTTGACTCAGTCAACCTATTTGTTTACCAGCAATTGAGGTAAGATATAACCATAAAGGGAGTGCATTGTTTTCAGGGGGTTTGGAACTCCTAGATGTGCTGGGTGAGAAGCAGCAGTAAAGCACTACCATTTTGTAGCACTGCAAGGTAGGAAGCAAATCCTGCATGTGTAATGAGCAACTTTGGCTGCCTCCATGTACAATATTCACATCATGTGAATTTTTAAAAAGATATTAAAAAAAAACTGAAATAATTAAAAATAATCCACATTTCCTTTAAATGTTCCAAGCAGTAAAAGGACAGTTTCAGTGGCACAGCTTATTGCCACTTTGACCTGTGATGCTCAACTGGCCACTAACTAACTGTGTGCTATCTTTGCAGTTTGGGATATAAACTTGGCTTAGATTAAAGAAAAAAATGTAAATTATACTTAAGTTTAGTTGGCACATACCTTTGTGCCATCCATTGCTGAATTAAGGGTTCTGAAAATCCAGTTTCACAGAATTCTAGTCTCAGTGCATTATTGAATTGGAAAGTCAGCCCATTAGAATTCATGAATGGGCAAAGTTACAGGTATACTTGATAGGCACCTGCCCAGTTTCCCCCCTGCTGATACTTACTTTACCCATGCAAGTTCCAGATTTTTTTTTTTTTAGTTTATCACTAATGGAAACTCTCAGTGTGACCTCACTGAGCATTATTCCAGGTATAAGAAAAGCACACCAATAGCATAATGATCTCACTGGGAGAACATCAGAGGATCTGCAAAACATAAATTAATCCTGCCAATTGCCTAGGTGTTGTTTGATGTGCAAATGAAATACACTTCAAACACAGGTCAGCAAATTCCCCTCTGCTTCAGCAATCTAAGCACTAAAAGTGTAATCTCTATAACTGATCCAGTTGTGGTGAGATAGTTTACCAGTCTCAGTAGCTTGGCACACAGTGACTTGATACAAATGACATCCTGCAGATCGTTGAAAGCTTTCTCATTCAAAAATCATGTGCAGATCATAACAGATGAACATGGGGTAGGTAAAAAAAAATTGGGGCATAATTTCCTCCACATATAAACTGCTTTTAGACGCCTTCCCCCTTTCTATTGATACCTGCCTTTATATGCGTAAATTCCTCCAATGTGACATTGCCTTAGATCAATGAAGCAGGATTTGGGAGGCAACTTCCAGATCTTCTATATGTGTAGTATATTTAGAAAATACTTCTAAAAGCCTTATGTTTTGGTATAGGACTCCTAAGGTTCTCCATGCTCGTAATCCAAACGTTTCTCCTGTCTGCTGGCATTGGGGCGAGGAAACTGGCACTCTTTTCCACATTTTCTGGGCCTGCCAGTACATTGCACCTTTTTGGAGAGAGGTCCTTGCCCTACTACGGCTACATTTGTGGGCTTCTATCCCATTTGAGCCCATTCACTTTCTGTTGGGCCTACCTTTTTCAGGCCTCTCCAAATTTCCAAGGAAACTTTCCTCTCACGTTTTAATGGCGGCCAGGAGAACCATTCCCATGCATTGGCTTTCTACTACGTCCCCTACACTATTGGAATTGATGAAGGTTATAGCAGAGATTATAAAAATGGAGTACCTAACTGCTTTACATGCTAATTCTTTTCCCGTATTTGAAGCAGTTTGGCGCCCATGGGATACTTCTACTTCTGACCTGTCTGCTCAAATTGTCTGAAATTGATTGTCATTTCACTGTTCTGTATTGACATTGTATGTACCTATGTACCTCTCATCGATGAGCCTGTTTTTCTGTTTTTTGTCTGCTACTGCTTTGTGTTTGCCATTCCGTGTTTCTATATAACCCTGTTTGTTGTAAATGTTTGAAAATCAATAAAAAGTTAATTACAAAAAAAAAATAAAAAATCATAGTGTGTCTAGCTCCAGCAGAATACAGTATATGTGGTGAATGAAGGCTATGCATGAAAAAGAAGAGTGGGACTAACTACATAGAGCATCCCCTAGCTAAGGCGTGAGGAAAGGACAAAATGATTTAAAGGCAAACAAACAACTAAGCATTTGTAACATGATGTAACATTTCCACATGACTTTAATAAAGAAGTGTAATTGACAATTTAGACCAGCGGTTCTCAACCTGGGGGTCGAACGACCATTTCCCAGGGGTCGCCTAAGACCATCGAAAAACACATATTTCCGATGGTCTTAGGAACCGAGACACCGCTGCTGTCTCCGGCGATGTGTGGGCGGGATGATATGCTGCCCCTGTCACCGCCTCCTTGCCGCTGATTGGCCACCGGAACTGTAGCTCAGGAGAGGCACACAGGCGGCCAATCACCGGCGAGAAGGTGGAGCTTGGAGAGGAGGAGCCGAGCGGCAGCGCGCGGAGATCGAAGAAGATCGAGGGAGCTGCAGGAACGAGTGAAGAGAGAGGCCAGAGAAGGAAGACAGCTGACAGGTAAGTGCAAATTTTGCTGCTGCTGCAGCCAGGTATGCAGGCTGTAGATGGGAGAGGGAGAGAGCGAGCCCAGGCTGGAGCAGGAGTCAGCAAGGTAAGTATCATTGGTGTCAGTGGGAGGAATAGTGCCACATCATTTGTGTCAGGAATACGATCATTTTGTGTCCCACTAATACCAACGATGGGGCACTATTCCTCCCCCCACTGACACCAATGATGGGGCACTATTCCTCCCCCCACTGACACCAACGATGGGGCACTATTCCTCCCGCCACTGACACCAACGATGGGGCACTATTCCTCCCCCCACTGACACCAACGATGGGGCACTATTCCTCCCACTAATGCCAACGATGGGGCACTATTCCTCCCACTTATACCAACGATGGGGCACTATTCCTCCCACTGACACCAACGATGGGGCACTATTCCTCCCACTGACACCAATGATGGGGCACTATTCCCCCACCTCATACCAATGATGGGCACTATTCCTCCCACTCATACCAATGATGGGGCACTATTCCTTCCACTGACACCAATGATGGGGCACTATTCCTCCCACTCATACCAATGATGGGGCACTATTCCTTCCACTGACACCAATGATGGGGCGCTATTCCTCCAACTGATACTAATGATGGGCACTATTCCTCCCACTGACACCAATGATGGGGCACTATTCCTCCCACTGACACCAATGATGGGGCACTATTCCTCCCACTGACACCAATGATGGGGCACTATTCCTCCCACTGACACCAATGATGGGGCACTATTCCTCCCACTCATACCAATGATGGGGCACTATTCCTCCCACTGATACCAATGATGGGGCACTATTCCTCCCACTCATACCAATGATGGGGCACTATTCCTTCCACTGACACCAATGATGGGGCACTATTCCTCCCACTGATACTAATGATGGGGCACTATTCCTCCCACTGACACCAATGATGGGGCACTATTCCTCCCACTGATACCAATGATGGGGTACTATTCCTCCCACTCATACCAATGATGGGGCACTATTCCTCCCACTGATACCAATGATGGGGCACTATCCCCCCACTGATACCAATGATGGGGCACTATTCCCCCTACTGACGCCAATGATGGGACACTATTCCTCCCACTGACGCCAATGATGGGACACTATTCCTCCCACTGACGCCAATGATGGGACACTATTCCTCCCACTGACGCCATGATGGGACACTATTCCTCCCACTGACGCCAATGATGGAGCACTATTCCTCCCACTGACGCCAATGATGGAGCACTATTCCTCCCACTGACGCCAATGATGGAGCACTATTCCTCCCACTGATGCCAATGATGGGGCACTATTCCTCCCACTGACGCCAATGATGGGGCACTATTCCTCCCACTGACGCCAATGATGGGACACTATTCCTCCCACTGACGCCAATGATGGGGCACTATTCCTCCCACTGACGCCAATGATGAGGCACTATTCCTCCCACTGACGCCAATGATGGAGCACTATTCCTCCCACTGACGCCAATGATGGGGCACTATTCCTCCCACTGACACCAATGATGGGGCACTATTCCTCCCACTGACGTCAATGATGGGGCACTATTCCTCCCACTGACGCCAATGATGGGACACTATTCCTCCCACTGACGCCAATGATGAGGCACTATTCCTCCCACTGACGCCAATGATTGGGCACTATTCCTCCCACTGACGCCAATGATGGGCACTATTCCTCCCACTGACACCAAATGATAGGGCACTATTCCTCCCACTGATACCAATGATGGGGCACTATTCCTCCCACTCATACCAATGATGGGGCACTATTCCTTCCACTGACACCAATGATGGGGCACTATTCCTCCCACTGATACTAATGATGGGGCACTATTCCTCCCACTGACACCAATGATGGGGCACTATTCCTCCCACTGATACCAATGATGGGGTACTATTCCTCCCACTCATACCAATGATGGGGCACTATTCCTCTCACTGATACCAATGATGGGGCACTATTCCCCCCACTGATACCAATGATGGGGCACTATTTTTCCCCCCACTGACACCAATGATGGGACACTATTCCTCCCACTGACGCCAATGATGGGACACTATTCCTCCCACACTGACGCCAATGATGGGGCACTATTCCTCCCACTGACGCCAATGATGGGGCACTATTCCTCCCACTGACGCCAATGATTGGGCACTATTCCTCCCACTGACACCAATGATGGGGCGCTATTCCTCTCCACTGACACCAATGATGGGGCACTATTTCCTCCCACTGACACCAATGATGGGACACTATTCCTCCCACTGACACCAATGATGGGACACTATTCCTCCCCACTGACACCAATGATGGGACACTATTCCTCCCACTGACACCAATGATGGGGCACTATTCCTCCCACTGACACCAATGATGGGACACTATTCCTCCCACTGACACCAATGATGGGACACTATTCCTCCCACTGACACCAATGATGGGACACTATTCCTCCCACTGACACCAATGATGGGGCACTATTCCTCCCACTGATACCAACGATGGGACACTATTCATCCCACTGACATCAGTGATGGGGCGCTAGTCCTCCCACTGCAAAATTACAGTTATGAAGTAGCAACGAAAATAATTTTATGGTTGGGGGTCACCACAACATGAGGAACTGTATTAAGGGGTCGCGGCATTAGAAAGGTTGAGAACCACTGATTTAGACGCTATGTTTATTCTATTGTCTATTGCTGATCTTTGGACACAGCAAGTCCTACTGAGGTTTGTTTGAACCAGGGGCGGACTGACCATTTGGAAACTCGGGCACTGCCCGAGGGCCCGTGGTCAGTAGGGTGCCCCATGAGATGCCCCTGGTACCTTTTTCATAGGCTTTTTTGAGTTTGGGCAAGGACACAGGGGCCCCATGATCCCCTATTGCCCGGGGGCCCCATGAGTTGTCAGTCCGCCCCTGGTTTGAACTGGAGGCAAAGTGGGTTAAATGTAGTCTTTTGCTGCCAAAGCTGCATTTTGCATTCCAATTCATTCATTTGAGTAGAGATGCATTCGATTGGAAAAGGCTGTTTTTGAAATGAATGCCCGTTCACGCATATGTACAATGATGATAATGCATTGCACTTACAAACATACAGTATGTAGAAAGCTTATGAAGAGTTTGCCATATTTTCTTCTCAAGCCCTTCAGCTTATTCTACCCTTTTAGTACTAGCATGGAGAGGAGCTGTACAAAACTGGAGGTGACTTGAAATGACCGATGACAAAGAACCCACATGTACTACAGCCATTTACCTGATTAGTGATTAAATTGTGGATTCTGTATGTAGCACCCTCCTGGATAGGTGCATCAAATCAGCAGCTGAATATTTATGCAGCCCTGGCAAATCCTTGGGGAAAGGTGCCCAGATGGTGGCTGGGAGGGAGCATATATAGCCTGCAGCTTGGAACAGAAGGGTTCTTGTCCTAGAGCAGGGGTGACACCATCCTATCTGTGACAACGCAGCACTGACAGAGCACTGTGGCAGGCTAGGGGGAAAGCATTGCTGGATCTAGGAGGGTGCTGGGGTGGGATAGGTTGCACCCCCCCACATTTCAGTCGTGCTTCTCAAGCCGGCCATCCTATAGGACATTGTGCCCACAACTGCTGACAGGGAGAGTGGCCGTAAACAGTAAACTCCAAACATGAGAAGTGGCAGTGGTTCAGGCTGAGCTGTGTTCTCTCTCTCCTGTCATAACAGTGATCCTTCATCATAGAGCAGATAACACTGGATCACTCTAACATCAGACTGTGCACTGTATGACTGTCCGCCCCCATCTCCTTCAAGGACTGTTGTTCACCTGGCAGCAGGAAAAGTGGATAGGTAATCATACAGTGCACAGACCGATGTTAGAGCGATCCAGTGTTATCTGCTCTATGATGAAGGATCACTGTTATGACAGGAGAGAGAGAACACAGCTCAGCCTGAACCACTGCCACTTCTGTACATGCAGGAAACCTGTGAGATTCAGGGCAAGTGGGGTTGGGAATACATTGGGGGGGGGGGATTGAGGGGTGCACAATAATTTGTACTTTGAGAAGTATGTGAAGGGGTTGTGTTGAAAGGACGAAATTGGGGAAGGGTATGTGTTAGGAGGCAGAAATTGAGGGGGCGGGGGTTGTGCTTAGAGGGGGGGGGGGGGGTAGGAAGTACTAGTACTTTGTACTAGGAAGGCATTTGTTAAATGCCATGTCAGCTCTGACCCTGTCCTCTTCTCTGCTGACCACTGTACTGTACATTGCTCTACTGAATTCTGCTGCTCTGCTGACCCCCTGTACACTGCCCTGCTGACCTTTGTCTGCTGTCCTGTTGACCTTATGTCCGCTACCCTGTTGACTTCTGTCCACTGCCCTGCTGACCCCTGTCAGCTGCCTTGATAAACCTCTGTACACTGCCCTACAAACGAATGGCCCCTGTACACTGCTGTACAAACTAATGGCTTCTGTACATTGCCTACACACTAATGGCCTCTGTACACTGCCCTACAAACGAATGGCCCCTGTACACTGCCCTACAAACGAATGGCCCCTGTACACTGCCCTACAAACGAATGGCCTCTGTACACTGCCCTACAAACGAATGGCCCTGTACACTGCCCTACAAACGAATGGCCTCTGTACACTGCCCTACAAACGAATGGCCCCTGTACACTGCCCTACAAACGAATGGTCCCTGTACACTGCCCTACAAACGAATGGCCCCTGTACACTGCCCTATAAACTAATGACCTCTGTATACTGTCCTACAAGCTAATGGCCCCTGTACACTGCCATACAAACTAATGGCCCCTATACACTGCCCTACACACTAATGGCCCCTGTACACTGTCCTACAAACTAATGGCCCCTGTACATTGCCATACAAACTAATGGCCCCTGTACACTGCCCTACAAACTAATGACCTCTGTACACTGCCCTACAAACTAATGACCTCTGTACACTGCCCTACAAACTAATGACCTCTGTACATTGCGATAAAAACTAATGGCCCCTGTACACTGCCCTACAAACTAATGGCCCCTGTACACTGCCCTACAAACTAATGGCCCCTGTATACTTCCCTACAAACTAATGGCCCGTGTACACTGCCCTACAAACTAATGGCCCCTGTACACTGCCCTACAAACTGCCGACCCTTTCCTCTGCCCTGCTGACCCCTTGTACACTGTCCTACCAAATCTCATACATTGTACTGCTGACCTTGCATGCTCCGCCCCCCTGACATTTTTACTGCACCCTCACATCAGACAGGCTAGATCTGGCCCTGGGGGGGGAGAGAGTCACAGTTAAAACATGGTGTGGGGTGACACCATGTTTTACTGCACCAGGTGAGACCAACCCTAATGACACCACTGCTTCCTATGTTGTTAGTGCAGTTCATCTTTTATTATTGCCTATATAAAAGTGATTTTCTGCATATTCCAGAGCAGGGGCGGGCTGACCGTTTAGTCTCTCGGACACTGCCCGAGGGTCAGTAGGGGGCCCCATGAGATACCCCTGGTACCTTTCATAGGCTTTTTTTGGGTGTGGTTTGAGTGTGGGAGAGGACACAGGAGCCCCATTATTTCCTATTGCCCGGGGACCCCATGAGTTGTCAGTCCGCCCCTGTTCCAGAGCACTCTCTGTTGTTGTATTCCTGACTCTGAGAGATTATGTTACATTGTCTAATAGTAAACTGCTGCATATCCAGCCATATTTTATAAGTGACAAGTTGCCTGTAACTCTTTAAGCGGCCTCCGCATGGATTCAAATTAAACATGAAGCTGGAAGCCGTGGACAGAAGAAGTCCCTCTCTTATCCGTGTGGCATCAGTGGTAGATGTGGAAGAGTGTAGGATAAAGGTAAAAAATGCCTTAATATGTCCCCCCCCCCCCCCCACATCCATCACATACCTCTTTGTGTATTGTTATGAACCATCCTCACAGTGGGTGTTGGTGTGCATCTATCATGGGTGGAGGGACTTGGGAAAGGTTATTAATAAAGTGGGTTGTTCACGAGCCATCCAACCCTCAAGGTCCACTTTGACGGCTGGAGCCATATGTATGACTTTTGGCTGGACGCTGACCACCCAGATTTGCACCCTGTGGGTTGGTGCCACAGAACTGGACATCCTTTGCAGACTCCTCTAAGTGAGTACTATGATAAACAGTTAATGAAATATTATTGTTTTTTAAAGGAATGCACAGTGTTTTGTACATACAGGGTGTCCCAAAAGTGTCCATACATAGGAAAAATTAACTCATATTCTATTTTCTATTATATTCTATTTTATTCTTTTAATATTTTTTTTTTTTTTATAATTTCAGATATGTATTAAAGGAACATTTAGCTACAATTTCCCCTATGTATGGTAACTTTTGGACACCCTGAATAATCCTGAATTATCATATGTTCAGTCTCTCAGAAAAAGTCAGTAGGATTGGGTACCTTTACAGAAGATAAAGGCAATTTTGCTAGTAAGGAAGCCACTTCTGAATGCCACTAGAAGGCACTGTTGGAAATGGGATCTATTTTGGGCTGAAGTGGTGGCAGGAGTGCTTATCTCTCTGGCAAAAGAGCAGGCAAATGCAATGGTAGAGGATGATATGTTTAAAACCCACTCTCATGGTTAATAAAGCTGCCCTATTCTAATGACATTTTTTAAAAGGCTCCAGAATCAAAGGACACTACATGATTAGTATTTAAAGTGGATATAAACCTCAGACAAGAAATATGAACAAAGCGTATCCCTCTATAATGTGTACCAGGGGCGGACTGACAACTCATGGGGCCCCCGGGCAATAGGGGATCATGGGGCCCCTGTGTCCTTGCCCAAACTCAAAAAAGCCTATGAAAAAGGTACCAGGGGCATCTCATGGGGCCCCCTACTGACCCTGGGTCCTCAGGCAGTGCCCGAGTTTCCAAATGATCAGTCCGCCCCTGGTGTGTACTTGTCTCAATTAAGAGCGCTAAGTGTCATTTCTCTCTGCTGGCTCATTCCTCTGCTATCAGCATGAATCACTTTTGACACGTTTTCCTGACACCAAGAGAAAAATGGTGACAAGGGAGGGACCTCCAAAAGATCAACAATCCTACTGAGTTCTGCAGAATGTAATTTCAGCTCCCCATCCCCTTTTTCTGAAATCTCAGGTAAGCTTGATAAATTCTGGACTTTGAACGGATGTAGAGAAGACAATACTGCAGATAAACAGGTACAACGTATGTAGGAGGATTTGCGTAAATCTCTGTGTAATCTCCTTGTATCACCTGAGGCCAGATACTTCAGTGGGTATATGTAAGGGTTTACAACCACTTTAAAGCAGATGTGAATTCACTAACAAAAAAAATGGTAAAAGGACAATAACTATTAATATGAAATAGTATGAAATAGTCTGCTCCTGTTCATTACTCATCAATGTTTTTACAGGGCACAGAGATGCATCCAATGTATCACCAGGTTCTTGTGTGTCGCTCAGCTGTAAGGGGATTACTCACTCTAGAAGCAGCAAGTACAGTTTCCACCACAGGTCAGACATTTGGCTGAAGCAGGCACTACCACTGGACTGTAAAATGGCTTTGCTCATAATCACATTCCTAATAACTAAGCAACTCATTACATCTGATTTTTTCTAGGTACTGTATTTACTTACCATACTTGGCTTTTATTTCTTCCCTTCCCAAAGGAAGTGCCCCACTCCAGGATGTGATGGTTCTGGTCATGTGACTGGAAGGTTCACTGCTCATCACTGTCTCTCTGGTTGTCCTTTGGCTGATCGGAACCAGCAACTGGCAAGAAACAGAAACCCTATTCCACTTCCACCCCGGAGGAAATCCAGACACCATGGAAGGTAACTAAGTATTGGTTTTCCAGTTGTTACTTTTTTTACTTACTTCTTAAGTAAGATGAAGAGACCTTGGTTTTAGTTCAAAGTGGCACTCAAAATAAATTTGTACATCCAGGGAAAGTTTTATAGTAAAGTTCATATAGTTCAAAAAGTGTCTTGCATTAAACCTTTTCTTTTATGCCACATAAAACTTGACTGACCCATTGAATATCTTATCTGTATCCACTGGTGTCATTGCAAGCGAAGCCTACAATGTACAAGAACACGGGAGGGTACCATCTCTGGTCTTCTCCATGGGCTTTGGGCTCCTTGATGGATGAGGGTGCTAACCTCATTATCTACCTTTTATGGCTACCCTATTGGCTTCTCCATAGAAATGAAAGAAAATGCACTTTAAAGGGTGGAAACAGAAGGTTCAGCTCACAGCAGGACACTGGATGCCTTAGTCTTGCTTGGTATGAAGGCAATAAAGGTCTGGCAAACTCAAACCACACAAAACTAAAAAAAAAAGGTTTGGATAGGTCATCACTTTAAATAAGAACCCATAGAAAAAAGCAATGAAGTAAACATGTAACTAACATGTAACTAATAAATAAATAAATTTCAGGATCGGTCGTCCTCCAAAATATCGTCGAGTGCAACAAGACAGCTTTCAAGGTAGGTAGAATCTTCTTGCACCAAGGGTATGTGTACGACTGCTATGGCTTATAACATAACCGGTAGACTGAATTCACTATGCTTTGACTTTCAATTTTCTGTCCCCAGATACAGTTCAGCAGTCACTTTTCATGTCAGCTCTGTCTGTACATCCTGATCGAGCCCTCGCTCACTGCTGGGAGCAGCACTGTCGTTTACTGCCAGGTGTTGCTGGTATCAGTGCCAGCACTGTGTCTAAGTGGAGCACAGAAGAGGTAACACATGTCCATTAAGACTCAACATCATGTGTGAGGCTAGTGCCATACATAAAGCCACCTAGGTCTTGATTAGGTTTATTTCAGATTGCAACTAAACTTTTAAATAAAGCTTTTTTACAACATATTAGAGTAGGGAAATGAGGACTGAAAGTTAGAGAAAATCCAACTTTTGGAACTGCATCAGGAAAAGAATAGATGGAAGTCTTCCAGTGAGGACAGTTGTTGCGGTGACTGCTGTCTAAGAATGGATATCCCTGACTTTGGAGAGATTTATTTCCAGTTGTATTTACAGGACGGGAAATAAAGGGAAATCTCCTTACTGGAACAAAGACAGAATGAAAAAAACTGACAGTCCTTAAGCCTTCCCTTCTCTATTCAAGTCTACTAGATATTCTTTAGACTTAGTATTTGCTAGAAATACCTTAACATGCTAGGCCCATTTTCTACATGTAGACTTAATTCCTAATGGGTCTGTCATTAAGAGGTTAATTTGTTTCCTGATCTGGTAGATTTTGAAGTGTGCCTAGCCCATCCTACTCCACAAGCCTAAACATAAATGGTCACATGAGCTCGCCAGTAGAGATGCCTTAGCCTGGTCAGATTCAACCCTGGTACCTAATTGCTCCATATTGTCTTTGACCTGCTGGGCCTTGGAGCCTATGCTTCTCCTGATTTACTGTATATCTAGACAGGATAGCATAGTACTATGCTAAAGGTGGCCATAACGATTGTGGTGCTTAACCCCCCAAAGGAGCCTCTGAGTATCGGGTCTCCTTTTCCCTGTACAGCCAGGCAACTTGCATTTTTCCATCTCCCACGCAGAGTCAGTAACCAGTCCATGAGCTTATTTTTGTTGTTTTATTAGGGGATAAACAACTTGGATAAGGTTTAGGGGTATATGGGATGCCCAACTTAACTTGTAGTAATAACTCTGAGGACAAACTTTCTAATTCTGTACAAAAAGGTAAGATCATGGACTTTCTACTCCAGCCAGAGTGGCACAGTCTCTTGATAGATCAATAGCACAATCTTTGTGAGGAGCACTTGGTCCCCTCTAAGTAAAATCTCTTTAGACCCCCATGCCCATCCATCTGGTTGTCCATCAGTGGTGGAAGTTGGAACTTATCTGAGAGGTATAAATTACACATTGCTCAAGGAACCCCTAGCAACCTCTGGAGGAACCCTAGGGATCCATGGAACTGTCAAATCTAGATAAAAACTCCATGTTAAAAATTCTTAATGGGTTGCTATTGTTTGTCCTTAAGGTAAATGGAGGAGTCACCTCCACAGGCATAAATACAATGACTCATATGATCATGGATGTTCATTCATGAGGAAAAAGTCTTCAGGCAGTTTGATCCTTCTTGCAAATCAGGTCACCCTCTAATGTCGATGTCCACCTTAATATGTTACTATTAACACCATATGTGCTATTACTAGTTTTGATCACACAGTTCTGTCATTGCAGATGTTGGTTCAGTAACAAAAATAATGTGTGAAAGAAGAGAGGCATCAATTATCCGTGTTACATTTACAGTCTTAATATAATAATTAGTATAAAATACTGTGATAGAGAAATGTTACAGTTCTATTTTTGAGGCTGGATTTACAACTATGTCTTCTTATTGACTAAGGTGTTTTCTACTGAATTCAATGGAAACACATTAAAATGCAAATCAACACGTATGAAGGTACCTTGTCACACGTTTTAAAGAAGCGTTGAAATACACTTTGCTATAAATATCAATGGTGCATTCACGTGCATCAACATGCATTGCAATGCTTGTGTTGCCATACATTTGGAAGAGTTGTCATTGATTTAAATAGAAACAGCATCAACCAAAACTTGCAAAGGTGTAAATCTAGCCCAATACTTTTCAATAAAAGAGATAATGTGTCAAAAACTGTGCCCTTTTTTTTTATTTAGGTATCTAACTTTGTGCAGACGCTGACAGGGTGTGAAGACCAGGCCAGGCTGTTCAAAGATGAGGTAAGTTGCACAAGGCTAAATGACACACAACATAATGGGTTACAAGGTGCAATAACCCATAGTAACCAATCAGAGTATACGTTTTAGTACACCATCACTACTTTTTACACCAGTGCTGGATGCAGGGCCATGTATATGGCTTGCATAAAAAAAACTGCAGCACCTCATGGCCTTCTTCTGGGTTCAGGAGGTCTACCCAGGGGAATAATATTACTAAATAAGAATTCCAGTTTCTACACAAATTTCAGTACCAATTTAACACTTTTTTGGGCACACAGTCACTGTGGATCATTGTAGAGGTAAATCAGCTCCAACACAATTGTGGGTAGATTCAGGGGCAGACTGACAACTCATGGGGCCCCCGGGCAATAGGGGATCATGGGGCCCCTGTGTCCTTGCCCAAACTCAAAAAAGCCTATGAAAAAGGTACCAGGAGCATCTCATGGGGCCCCCTACTGACCTCGGGCCCCTGGGTAGATTACATGTTGCACTGTATATATACAGTACATCAGTGGCGTCGCGAGGCAGGTGTGGGGGGTGCGCGCCGCACCAGGTGACACCTACCACACGGGGTGACACCGGACCCACTCCACGAAAAGGTAAGTTGTAAAGCAAGCCGACGATCCCCGCAGGATGGATCCGATCTGTGGATTAGGGAGCATAATGGATCGGACTCCGATTCATTATGCTCAATCCACAGATCCGATCCATTCTGCGGGGATCGTTGGCATGCAACCTACAGTCAGGTCCATAAATATTGGGACATCGACACAATTCTAACATTTTTGGCTCTATACACCACCACAATGGATTTGAAATGAAACGAACAAGATGTGCTTTAACTGCAGACTGTCAGCTTTAATTTGAGGGTATTTACATCCAAATCAGGTGACCGGTGTAGGAATTACAACAGTTTGCATATGTGCCTCCCACTTGTTAAGGGACCAGAAGTAATGGGACAATTGGCTTCTCAGCTGTTCCATGGCCAGGTGTGTGTTATTCCCTCATTATCCCAATTACAATGAGCAGATAAAAGGTCCAGAGTTCATTTCAAGTGTGCTATTTGCATTTGGAATCTGTTGCTGTCAACTCTCAAGATGAGATCCAAAGAGCTGTCACTATCAGTGAAGCAAGCCATCATTAGGCTGAAAAAACAAAACAAACCCATCAGAGAGATAGCAAAAACATTAGGCGTGGCCAAAACAACTGTTTGGAACATTCTTAAAAAGAAGGAACGCACTGGTGAGCTCAGCAACACCAAAAGACCCAGAAGACCACTGGACACAACTGTGGTGGATGACCGAAGAATTCTTTCCCTGGTGAAGAAAACACCCTTCACAACAGTTGGCCAGATCAAGAACACTCCCCAGGAGGTAGGTGTATGTGTGTCAAAGTCAACAATCAAGAGAAGACTTCACCAGAGTGAATACAGAGGGTTGACTACAGGATGTAAACCATTGGTGAGCCTCAAAAACAGGAAGGCCAGATTAGAGTTTGCCAAACGACATCTAAAAAAACCTTCACAGTTCTGGAACAACATCCTATGGACAGATGAGACCAAGATCAACTTGTACCAGAGTGATGGGAAGAGAAGAGTATGGAGAAGGAAAGGAACTGCTCATGATCCTAAGCATACCACCTCATCAGTAAAGCATGGTGGTGGTAGTGTCATGGTGTGAGCATGTATGGCTGCCAATGGAACTGGTTCTCTTGTATTTATTGATGATGTGACTGCTGACAAAAGCAGCAGGATGAATTCTGAAGTGTTTCAGGCAATATTATCTGCTCATATTCAGCCAAATGCTTCACAACTCATTGGATGCTTCACAGTGCAGATGGACAATGACCCAAAGCATACTGCAAAAGCAACCAAAGAGTTTTTTTAAGGGAAAGAAGTGGAATGTTATGCAATGGCCAAGTCAATCACCTGACCTGAATCCGATTGAGCATGCATTTCACTTGCTGAAGACAAAACTGAAGGGAAAATGCCCCAAGAAAAAGCAGGAACTGAAGACCGTTGCAGTAGAGGCCTGGCAGAGCATCACCAGGGATGAAACCCAGCGTCTGGTGATGTCTATACGTTCCAGACTTCAGGCTGTAATTGAGTGCAAAGCATTTGCAACAAAGTATTAAAAAGTGAAAGTTTGATTTATGAATATTATTCTGTCCCATTACTTTTGATCTCTTAACAAGTGGGAGGCACATATGTAAACTGTTGTAATTCCTCCACCGTTCACCTGATTTGGATGTAAATACCCTCAAATTAAAGCCGACAGTCTGCAGTTAAAGCAAATCTTGTTCATTTCATTTCAAATCCATTGTGGTGCTGTATAGAGCCAAAAATGTTAGAATTGTGTCGATGTCCCAATATTTATGGACCTGACTGTATACGGGGTGACACCGGACCCGCTCTACGAAAAGGTAAGTTGTAAAGAAAGCCGACGATCCCTGCAGAATTGATCGGATCTGCGGGTTGGGAAGCATAATGGATCGGAGTCTGATCCATTATGCTCAATCCACAGATCTGATCCATTCTGCAGGGATCGTTGGAGGGGGTGTCACCAAGTGTTATCGCACCGGGTGACACCAACCCTAGGGACACTCCTGCAGTACATAAGTATATATGGGATCTGCTTTTTTTTTACCAAATAGTTTGCATTTCTGTCCATCCATTCCTGAGGTTTATACAACCTTGCTAAACAGTAGAGCCAGGCTGGTGACCTAATTTGTTTTCTGCAGTCAGGCATGTCAAATAGATAACCCCTCTGCCCTGAAGGATTACTCTTTATCATCACCCCTGTTTTGGCTCAGGTATTTATTGGCCAGGAACTGTTAGCAGTGGTGCCAGTACTTTTGCAGCAGTAAGGTTAGGCATGCCATAATAAAGTGGTTAAGGTTAAGTTATAATCAGTTTTAGGGATATTGACTTACATTTGAGGGTAAGGGAAGGGACAAGCTTAAGTGTTATAATTAGGATAACCGTTAAAGGATAATTGTTAGGTGGAACATTTTTAGGGTTAAATTAAAGGTTTAGCAGTAGGGTGAATAAGGTGTTAAAGGTTCATTTTAACCACTTCCTGTCCGGACACTTTTACCCCTTCCTGTCCAGGGCAATTTTTAGCTTTCAGCGCTATCACACTTTGAATGACAATTGCGCGGTCATGCAATACTGTACCCATATGAATTTTTTACCATTTTTTTGAGACAGATAAAGCTTTATTTTGGTGGTATTTATTCACCGCTGGGATTTTAATTTTTTTTACTATGTAAATGAAAAAGTTCAAAATTTTTGAAAAAAAAAAAGTGTTTTTTTAAATAAAATTTTGCAAATAAATAATATTTCATCATAAATCTTAGCCAAAATTTATTCCGTTATTTTTATAGTAAAAAAAAAAATCCAAATTAGTTTATAACCAAAAATTATAATTTTTAAACATTTTTTTTTTATTTTTTTTTATATTATGATTTTTTTATTTTTATTTTTTTTTTTCACATACTGTCACCCTAGCAGTACACTGTCACCATGGTGACACTGTACTACTTGTGGAGGGTGATGAAGATTTTTTTTTTTTTTTTTTTTTTTTTACACTGATTGCTTTTACACCCATATAGGATGTAAAAGCAATCATTTCTCTTTCTCTCTGTCTGCATTCTTGCAGTCATTGAGAATTACTGAGTGAGCTGTGAGTGGTCACAGCTTGTCACATGGTACAAGGCTGTTGTGAATAGCCTTGTACCATGTGACCTCTGTGACCACTCACAGCTCACTCAGTAATTTCACACATAGTAAGCAATGATGTCACAAGTGACATCTTGCTTACTACTTTGCATGTGATCATTGATTCGCCAATCAGTGATCACATGATCGGGACCTCGTACAGAGGTCCCGTCCGACGATCGGTGTTTCACTGTGTCCGGAGGACACAGCGGGCACTGGATCGCGGTGGTGCGCGCTCCCAAGGAGCGCGCACAGCTAGAAAAGGCGGGTGCCATTTATGGACGGCAACCCGACCCTGGACTGCCACCGCCCTGCCGTTTATAAACAGCAGGCGGACGGCAAGAGGTTAAGGCTCCCCCATCCTCCCTGAATAGGCTAAACATTTGTAAACAATGGCAGGGTTTACATTTGACTATGATTGGTTCACAGCAATCTGAAGGTACAGAGCCACTCTGATTGACTCTGCAGATTGTGCCTGTGATCAGAGCTATCCAGATCACAGCCATTCATAGGTGCACTGGCTGCCTGTGGGTGTATTCTGGAGTGCAGTTTATAAACAAAATAAAAAATATTGTCCAGCTATCCACTTTTTTTTCTTATTGAGTTGGTTTAGTTGTCTTCTTTAAGTACTCTGCCAAGCTGAAATACAGGATTATACAAGATGTATATAGCGCCAACAGTTTGCGCAGCGCTTTACAATGTAAGGGAGACAGTACAATTATAATACATTTCAGTACAGAAGGAATAGGAGGGCCCGGATCATGGAGCTTACAAGCTTACAAGGAAGGGGAAGGTGATACAAAAGGTGATAGCTGCCGGGGATGATCTGGTGGAGGAGATTCAAGTACACTCCTTAGGTGGAGGTGGGGTAGGCTTCCCTGAAAAAGTGAGTTTTCAAAGATTGCCCAAAGGCAGACAGGGTAGGGGCTGACCAGACATACTGTGGTAGGGAGTTCCAGAGGATGGGAGAGGCTCTGGAGAAGTCCTGGAGGTGAGCGTGGGAGGAGGTGATGACGGAGCTAGAGAGGAAGATATCTTGGGACGAGAAGAGAGGCCGATTTTTATCTGCGGATGAGGCTGGCGATGTAGACAGGGGCAGTGTTGTGGATGGCTTTGTAAGCTGTGGTTAGTATTTTGAAATTTATACGTTGGGTTAGTGGAAGCCAATGAAGGGTTTGTTCCAGGCTGGCTGACAGATCTACCTAAAGGGGCTCCCTACAGAGTCATATTCTGCTTAATGCGCATATTTAATGTAAATCTGGTGAGTGCGCATTTTATATAAATATCACACAGATTGGATTGCACAGATTTTCACCAGAAGTCACTATTGATTATATGTGAAGGAAACAAATATCTGCTGACCTGATCATGTCAAGCCTGCACTATTTTGAACACTTATTTGAATCTCAGACTTTTTGATCTTATCACATTCCTACTTTGCGCCTGTTGATGCGCATTATTCACTTTATAATAATTGTCTACTGTATTAGCGATACTATTTATTTTTTGGTGATAACTATTTGTTCAGCGCTGCACTTTTTTATTGAATGAAGGGATTGGCAGAGAGAGGCAGCAGTCGCTGATCGGTAGAAAAATGTGTATGAGTCTAGTAGCAGCATTCATAATAGACTAAAGGGGGGGATAGCCTGTGTAACGGTAGACCAGCGAGGAGGGAGTTGCAGTAATCAAGGCGGGATATAACCAAGGCGTGGATAAGTTGTTTTGTGGTGTCATTGGTCAGGAAGGGGCGGATTTTGGAAATGTTCCGGAGGTTGAGGTGGCAGGATTTAGCCAGTGAGTGGATGTGGGGCCCGAAGGAGAGATCAGAGTCTAGGATTACACCTAGCACCCTGGCATGAGGGAAGGACCAATGGTTGTGCTGTTGATCTTAATGGTAAAGTCATGAGTGGAGGATCACGGAGGAGGAAATATTACAAGCTCGGTTTTGGAAAGATTGAGTTTAAGGTAGTGGTGTAAATTCCATGCTGATACAGTATGTCCCTTAGTAAATTTGTGATATGTGAGGAGATTGAGGGGGTGAGTTGGGGAGCAGAGAGATAAATCACTATGTAATTGGAAAGTTGAGTCCTGTGAGCCAATCAGGCACAGTGCTGACAATCTAACATTTTTTCAGGTAATTGGAACTGTAGAGAAAGCAGCATACAACAGAAGAGGGGAGAATGGGGTGAGGCTTCACAAAGTGTTGATGCCGTTGAGTCCAATGACTAGGCACAGGACAGAGGAGACTTGCAGAGTCCCAGCAAGAAATAGTAGCATCACATTTTCAGTGGGTAAGCAGTATAGTAGGGTGGTGGGTCACAAAATTGGGGAGCAGAGCTCAATATTCTGGCCACTATACTAGTTAATCTGTATGTATTTTATACATGTTTTAGCTGTGTGGCTGGAACTCCACTTTAAAGTGTATCTAAACTCAAAAACAAAAATGTAATATATTGCAGCTTACCAGTCCACGTGGTGGCTGCATTAGTTTTCTTCAGGCTGTTCTTGCCAGTAAAACACTTTCTGTCCTACCGTGGGAAAGTTCACTCACCCTTCTGTGTCAGAACAACAGAAACAAGATAGGAGAACAGATCCCACCCACCCCGTCCTCCAATCCGTAATATAGAAGGGCATGGTTCAGTAGTCCTCATAGATGGCTGACAGCAGTGTATGTAATAACAGTGGCAGAGAGCACAGGAAGTTATCAGCTGACATGAATTCTGATGGGTTAAACGGGTATTTAACTTATCAAATACATTAAATCAGGGCTTTTTTCACAGGGAATAGGTGCAGGTACCCCCTCCTTGTCTCCGACCTCTACCCACCTCCAAGCACCATTCCTTGGTTCCAATCCCTACCCACCTCCAAGCACCGTTGCTTGGTTCCAATCCCTACCCACCTCCCAGTACCGCCCATTTTAGAGAGAATGGAACCAGGAATCATTTTGTGGTGCTAAGCATTTTGTATAGAATTTGTTAATGATAACAAGAAAAGCAGCAAAACAGATCCCCTGCAGCCAACAATAACAGCCCTCCCCAACTACAATAGATCCCCTAACAACAATAAACCCCTTAGCAACATGAAATACCCCAGCAACAACAGATCCACACCAGTAACAATAGATCCCCCTACCAGCAACAATAGATCTCCCAGCATTAAGAGATCCTCCAGCAGCCAGGAACAAAAGACACCCTCCCACAACAGTAGATCCATCCCAACAACAATTGACCCCCAGCAATATAAAACCACCCCAGCAACAATACATCCCTCTGTCAACAAGAGATCCCCCCAGAAACAATAGATCCCCAACAGTCAGCATCAATGGACCCTCCAGCACCCCTTGCCATTTATACATTCAGTACTGAAGGTGCATTCTCCCTTATTCCTGCTGGAAAAAAAGCCCTGGATATAACAAAACACATTCAAATGTATATTTATCAGACAAAATGAGGCAAATATGAGAAGTTCATTGCTATGGCTTACATACCCGATAAAAGCTAAATATCCACTGTGATAGACTAAACCCTACAGCTCACCAGTAGACCAACCACTTATGGCATGAGTTAAGCATTGATTATATGACTTTTGTTTTAAGTGATATACCAATATACTGTAGAGTGACCACTTGACGCCGATTATAATAATTGAATCTAAACTTGGCAGACACATACACAGATATTGATCAGAATTATTCTTACCGAACAATCTTTCTTGCTCATGGACAGGTCCCAGTAGCCTGCTAATCCCCAACTTCTCTTTTACTCTACAGATGATAGACGGACAAGCCCTCTTGTTGCTCACGCAGACGGATATTGTAAAGATTTTGTGCATTAAACTAGGGCCAGCTGTGAAAATTTACAATTCCATCCTCATGTTTAAGAACACAGAGGACTCCACAGACTGAACCCCACCACCGGATCGAAAAGATTATGGTTTTACAATGCTGTCAAAATCCCTTTGATCCCCTTACCCGGCTATAATGAATGTCTCTATTATAAAAGGACATACAGTTTAGTGAGATGTACAAATAAATACCGTTTATGTTTGATGGAAATATTTGTGGAGTATGATTATGAGAACATCTGACTTGTTGTTTTTGGTTTTGGATAGAGTAAAGAAGGGTTAAAACACATCACTTTTTGGAAGATTTCTCCTTACTTCCTGTCCAAAAGACACAACAGTCGTCACCAAAACAAATGTCCCCATTGGAAGATTTCCCCCCTATCCCAGGGGTCTCCAAACAAAGGGCCAGTTTGTTGTCCTTCAGAATTTAGGGGGGCCAGACTGTGCCCATTGAACAATTCCTATGGCTTGGTGGTCAGTGGGAGAAAAAAAATTACATAGTGCCTGCAGTCAGTAGAAGTAGAATAGTGCCCCAAACATGTCATTAGTGGGAGAAATGGTGCCCCGTCATTGGGAAGAATGGTGCCCCATCATTGTTGTCATTGGGAAGAATGGTGCCCCATCTGTGTCATTGGGAGCAATAGCTCCATATTGTTGGTGTCAGTGGGAGGAATAGTGCCCTATTGTTGGTGTCAGTGGGAGGAATAGTGCCCTATTGTTGGTGTTAGTGGGAGGAATAGTGCCCCATTGTTGGTGTCCATGTAAGAAATAGCACCCAATCATTGGTGTCAAAGGGAAAAATAGTGCCTTGTATCAGGGGGAGGAATAGTGACCCAATGCTGAAAATGTAGAATTTTGAAATTTCACATCACTTCCTGTTTCATTGACAATGGGTACCAGGACAAACAGAGAGGGCCAATCTCGCTAATAGCAACAGACAGCAAATAAAACCTGATGGATGTTATAGAGATTCTAACCCTTCCCTAACCCATACAAAGTTAAAAATGAAAATGTATGATCTTCAGAAATACTTTAAAGGGATTGCTGTGCTTACCTAGATCTCATGGCATTGCTTACATCCCTCCGCTGGCTTCTTGGTCTAACATCCATGCCTACGCAGTTCAGTGTTACAGACTTTTTACTGGGCAGATAGATGAATCAGCACCTCTCCATCTACCAGCCCCAAGGAGACCTATGGGGTCGAACTCTGCATGCACAGAGTAAGATCAAGGTTGAGTTATAGCAATTTTGTGGAGTTTTGGGGGTAGAGTTGGGCTAGACCTGTTTAGAGGGTTGAGGTAAAAGAGCAAACTTTCCTGAAAAGTTATTTACCGTTTAATGAAGGGCAGATTTTTCATTGCTTGTAATTCTTGGTCAATCATCTGCCAAAGCTTAGAGCAGTTCGATTTCAGATGCAACTTAAGTTGCACAGAATTACATGACAACGGAAGCCACATTGTTTTCAATGGTGCCGGTTCACATCAATGCAACTCAGCACAGTGCGATTTTGGAAAAGGTTTCTGTACTAATTTGGTGCGATTCTAGCACAATTTTGGCTCCGTAGAAGATGCAAACCACATCCAAATAGCATCCAGGTTGCACTACATATTCACACTGAAAGTCGAATCAAAATCTGTTTTACAAAGGTTTTTTATTAGATTTTTCAAAGTTAAATAAAAGGTAAAAAAAAGGTAATACACAAAGAAGTAGAAAAAAAAATAAGTCATAGAAAATGAGAGTATATCATTTGGTACTGAAACATTACAATTAGCCAAATTTGGGATCAAAATCTGATTGGAGCAGTATCACGTACCTGGTGTTAGAGGCCAACGGAGAGAGGGCTTTCCTTGCAGCTAATTTCCAGACTCTCCTGGATATGGGACAGAAGGAGTCAGGCCCAAAGTAGCACGGGTCCCCTGTAGGACTGCTTGTCAGAGGTACACCCAGGACCACAGCTGATGCACTGGAATGGTGTCTGCAGACAGGTGGTGCCCGTGAGAGGTATACAGTCCTTCAAGGTAGCAGAGGACCACAGAGTAGTCAGTTCAAAGCCAAGGTCAGATGCCAGGTAGAGATTGGAGCAGACGTAGTCAATAGGATAGCCGAGGTCATACACAGGAGATTAAGTGTGAATATCTATTAGCCAAGCTGGGTCAGATGAGGAGAGCAGGTGAGAATATATATTAGCCAAGCCGGGGTCAGATCAGGAGAGCAGGTGCAAATATCTATTAGCCAAGCCAGGGTCAGATTAGGAGAGCAGGTGAGAATATCAGTTAGCCAAGCCTGGGTCAGATCAGGAGTCAGGCAGAGAACACAGGTCCAGGAACAAGCCTAATTGGTAACAGCAGATCACAGTAGGGAACAAGGGAACACGGACAAAAGGTACTGGGGAGCCAGAGATTAACCAGCAATTTGAGGGAGTGATGGGCTTCCTTATAAAGGCCATCTGGCGCCAAACTGGGGTAATGCGTGTGTAACTATGCACCAGTGCGCATGTGTGTTCTGCCTCACGTCTGTGTGCCAATGCACATAGATTTTTTCCAGCATGCATTTCTGCGGCCATGCAAGGTACTGGCAGGAATGCCAGGTCTCCAAGTACCTTTGCTGTGGACAGAGCCCTGGCAAGCAGTGTGACCATTGCCCAGGTGTTATAATGGCAGTGGTTCAGATGAGCTTATAACTAAAACAACCAAGGCACATGTAGGCAAGTGCAGTCTACAATCTCCACTGAAGGTGTCACTCGTCCGTAGCAGACAGTGTAACTGGAGGAGGAAGTTGGGAGAAACTGGGTTTCTCTATGGCTTCCTCAGTCCCCTGGAGCAGTGATCCGGTTGAATGAGCTGGATTAAGGTCACCCTGGTAACCATCTTGGGTCATGCAAAGTCTTTTAAATTCTTGCTCCCATGTTTTGATGCGCTGGGAGTGGCTAGTGTAGAAACAGGATACCCATCTGTCAGGGACAGCACTAGCAATATGGAGAGGTTCCGGTGGAGTAGAGAAAGAATAGGGCCTATGTCTATCTCTTCAGGAAGCTCCCCTTTGGGTTGGACCAGCCAGACCGCGCTCTGCTCCTCGTGACAGTCACTGCCTGCAGCTTGGGTCCATAGACCACCGACTCTGCTCTGAATTGTTGTAAGTGTCCAGGTGGGTGAGCTTCACCGCCGGCCTGTTTGTACTGTTTGACAAGTTCTGCAACACATCATTATTCGGCAGATTCGGGACTCTATATACCTTTTCTGCCGCTGCACTACGCTTCACCTACCCAACAGTGCATATAGACAGGGCAGTATACTTAACAGCACAAAAAATTTCCCCAGCAATCGATCCAACTAAGTTAGGATCATGTTGAATTTATTTGCAAATACTTGTAAAGCGTTGCTGCCATGTCAAAAGATCCCTGCTAAGTGTTTTCCCCAACTTATCTGAGCTCCGAACTTAAGACATATATAAAGTATAGCAATGAATACAATGAGAGCCGGTATGCTTTGGAGGTAGCCCCATCCTCCTTAAAGATACACCAACACATTAAAAGCCCTACATCATTCAAGGCAGCTGAAGACCATTCAATGTGCGTGCCTACACCAAACCCAACAATATGGCAGATGCACAGATCACTTTACAACAGGATTGGAAAAGTGCACGTATGCAGGACAATACACAAAACAACTTACAAATTGTCCCGCACACAATCCAGCTAGTCAGTAAAAAATAATTAAATTGATATATTAAAGGCAATTTTAAAAAAAATAATAAACATGTTCATACTTACCTGCTCTGTGCAGTAGTTTTGCACAGAGCAGCCCCAATTCTCCTCTTCTCGGTTCCCCAATAGTGCTCCTGGCCCATCCCACCTACCTAGCTTGCTATAGGGGCCGCCTCCGAGCTGCTTCTCTGTGTGTCCATTCACACCAGGGGTGGACTGACAGCATGGGGCCCCCGGGCAATAGGGGATCATGGGGCCCCTGTGTCCTTGCCCAAACTCAAAAAAGCCTATGAAAAAGGTACCAGGGGCATCTCATGGGGCCCCCTACTGACCCCAGGCCCTCGGGCAGTGCCCGAGTCTCCAAATGGTCAGTCCACCCCTGATTCACACACAGAGCCGCAGCTCAGCCCCACCCCCTACTCTCTCCTTATTGGCTCACTTTCTGTGATTGACAATAGCTCCCACTGCTGTCTTACCCAATGAGGCGAGAGAGTCCCCAGAGAGCCGAGGCTTTTGCGCACACCGCTGGGATGCGATGGAGCTCAGATAAGTATTGGGGGGAGTTCCATACAGAAGGTTTTTTACCTTCATGCATAGAACGCATGAAGGTAAAAAACCTTAAGCCTTTACAACCACATTAAATAGAAGATCCAACCATTTCCCAGCTTTGTCCAAACTTAGAAAGAAACTTTTCAGATATTCTACTTTAATGCTGACCTATGGTGAAATATCATCTCCCCAAGCTCTTGCTCATCCATTAAATCCATTGATATTTATAGAACACACTAATCAGACACAGCCTGATTTTTACAAGTAATAAGACATGTCTGAACATCACTTCTTTAGTTATGTAGTCTAGGGATGCCTGTTGGAAATGTCCATTATCACTTATTTTCCACCAGGAGTCATCTCTCACTATCCCTATAGAAAATGTATCAATCTTGGACGTTGATGTGTCAGACAAAATTTAAACATTGGTGTTTCCATAACTGCAGTGGAAATAGATTTTTTTTTACCGTCTGTCGCCTAGCAAGATCTGCCTCTCCGTAGAGAGCAAGAGGTGAGTAGTAAACAATTCTACATTTTTAAGTCATAACCAATTTCAGCCTCATTTGCAAGAGAATAATGAAATGCAGTTCTAAGTTGTTTTCAGTCATTTAAAATCCGCAGCTACAGCTGATCTCTAGGCAGATCAGTCTCAGATTTGTAAAAGTAATCTCACCTTAGCTGAATCTGCAACAGTTGTTCTTAACTACAGGCTGGGAAAGCTTCGGGTAACACTCCAGGTCCCCATCCCTAACTCCGTGCTTGGAGGGTCACACAAAAGCCAAATCACGGCAAACCAACAAAGCCCAAGT